ATCTGTACATACAATGTCTACATGCACAACTGCATGTAACTGACTGGCCCGTGGACCATCTGCCACTGAATAACATACAGTTCAGTTCGCTGCTGCTGTGTTTCTCCACTCAAGAAAGCTGCTTAAAGCACCGGGACAGTGAAACTCGGGCCACTTGAAAATTTCAAACCAGAAAAAAAAAAAAATTCAAACCAGGATCTGAACCGATGCCCCAATCCCCAGTCAGAGAGGTAGCAGGAACCAGGAACAAGACATCTAAGCGAGCACTTAAAAGAAAAACAAAACAAACCCAGTAAAACTCCAAAGCAAATCGCCTCTACCCACCCTCAGCTTTTGAAACTTCTTGCCCCCACGAGTTGTTTTTCCTCCCAGAAGGAAGGCAGTTACAGACGACTTCGCCTTCCCAGGGTGGAGCACACTCGGCTCTGCTGTCATCTCCCTTGTCCTGGGGTGACACGGATACAACAACTGTGTGTGGTGCTTGGCTGTGGAAGTTCAAGTGTTTCCACCCTAAAACGAGGCCGTGGTTAAATCCTGGGTGCAGAGCCTGAAGCCAGTGGACAGGGGCCTAGCACACCCTTGTGCTCGAAGTTACAGCTGCAAAACCAGGACGCCGCCGGCCCCGCCCTGGCCCGTGCCAGTGCGTCTGCGGTCCCCTCCACGCCCGCTGGTCGCTTCTTTCCGGATGCACGGCGCGGACACGATCTCTACCTCCCACCCTGTAGGGCCTCGGAGGGTGGCTGCGAACGTACTGCGGGCCGAGCTCGCACGCCAGGCCCGGGAGCCAGGGCGGCCTCGCACAGGTGGGCCAGGTCGTGCTGGGTCGCTCCTGACCAGAGGCGGGACCCCCGACCGCCCTCGCCTTCACCCCACCGCCTTTCCCCGGCTGCCGGACACACACGTGCCGGGTGACAGCCCCCTATAGGTTCCATACCTGCTGCCGGAAGTGAGCGAGGAGGGCAGTATAGGCATTTCCTGTGACGCCAGCGCCCGGACTCCATTAGGCAGCAGCTGGGGGAAGAATCAACACACCAGGGAGCGGAGCGGCGCGGACCGAGCACCGAGGCGGCCGCTGCCTCCGCCGCCGCCTCCGTCGCCGCCGTCGGGGCTCCAGCTTCGGGCCCGCGCCCCCCCCAGTGCCCGCGAGCCCCCGGGCCGCGCCGCGAGCGCCTCCGGAGGGGGGGGGAAGGGCCCGGTCCTCCTTCTCCCCCTCCTCCCGCCCCACCGACCCCCGCCGCGCCCCGCCGGCCTCCCACCACGGCCTCTCTCGGCGAGGAAACTCTGGCCTCCGCTTCCTCCTCCTCCGACTCGGACGCCGGCGGAGCCTCCCCGCCCCCGCGGAAGAAGCCCCGAGCCTCGGCGGCGGAGGGAGCAGGAGAGCCCGGGGCCTCGGCCGGCGGAGCAGGCCTCCCCCCCCCCGCCCTCGCCCTCGCCGGCCGCCTCCTCCTCCGTGGTGGTGGTGGTGGGACTGCCTCCGGCCGCCCCTCAGCGGAGCAGCGGCCACAGCCTGGTCAGCGGCGGCACCATGCAGGCCAACGGGGCGGGAGGAGGCGGCGGCGGGGGCGGCGGGGGCCAGGGCCAGACCCCGGAGCTCGCCTGCCTGTCGGCGCAGAACGGGGAGTCGTCCCCCTCGGCGACGTCCGCGGGGGACCTGGCCCACGCCAACGGGCTCCTGCCTGCCGCCCCCTCCGCCGCTAGCAACAATAGCAACAGCCTGAGTGTCAATAACGGGGTTCCCGGCGGGGCCGCCGCGGCCTCCGCCGCCGCCCAGGCCACCCCCGAGCTGGGCAGCAGCCTCAAGAAGAAGAAGCGGCTCTCGCAGTCCGATGAGGATGTCATTAGGCTCATAGGACAGCACCTCAATGGCCTAGGGCTCAAGTAAGTGTCCGTCCTATAACTGGTAAGGGCCAGGCCGAGGCCGAGCCTCCGGGTGGGTGGCGGGGACCCCGGGGCCCAGTGCGCAGGAGGCCGCGGACAGACAGCCCTGGGAGCAGCGGAGCGGAGGGGAGGGGAGGTCGAGGAAAAGGAATCGGCCTGATGCCTTACGGCCGGCCGAGCCGTCTGGGCGGGGAGGGGTAGTGGAAGCCCAGAGCGACCTCTCCCCACGCACCTCCAGAGCTGGATTGCAGGTCCAAGAAGGCGGACACCGAGGGTGTTTATGCTAGGGGAGGAGTGGATCAGAGCGGTGGAAATAATGAACCTTGGAGGATTTGTTTTTCAAGTGTGTCTCAGAGGCATCTTTGTGGGACACCTCCCCACCCCCACCCCTGACCGACAACAGCCCAGGCAAACTACCAATCAGGAAGGACAGTCGCCTACAAGTGTTTATGGGAACTAAGGGGCTGGCATAATTTGGAAAGAGGCTGTCGAGTAAATCTGATGGGAATAATGAAGGCAGATACCGAGTGGAAGTCATGCAGAGGCTGTGTGTGTGTGTATGTACTAGAGGCCTAGCATTAGTAAAATTCCAATTTAAAACCCAGAAGGTTGCCTTTTGGAAAAAGTGATGTTTGGTCTGGTGAATCGTTTGTTTTCAAATACGGTTTGGGTGGCCTTTAACGTATGCTGAAGGTAGACATTGGGTTCAACCAAAACTCAACTGTTCTGTACACACTCGAAAGAAAAGCTGAGGGAGTTGAGGTAGACTTAGTGGGAGTGTCCTGGAGCTGAGTGAAGGTGGAAGAGCCAGGAGCCGACAGAGTAAACATGCAACAGTTTCCTAGCGTCAAAGCGAATTTTAAATTAAACTTTTAGGTGACCTGGATTTTTGGTTTTGTTTGGTTTTGCTTTGTATGTGTGCTGGAGTATGCTCGTGTGCATTTGTGGTAAAGGGAGAGAACTGCACTTACTCATCGTGACAGAAGTATTTTGACTCCCAAGCTGATAATTGCACTGTTGAGCTGAAAAATGGGGAGTGCTAAAGAAACTTCGAGCTAAAGTCATGAACAGCTCCCAAAGAAAAATCTAGAAAGATTTCACTTTAGTCCCCAAGGAAAAGGATAAGTGTGAAAATAAATTTTGTGAATGCTAACAGAATATATTACTGAGGGAAGCAGCAAGCTGACAGCAGCAGGCGGAAGTAACTCGTGACTGTTTGGAGCCTACAGCATAGTAAATTGGCTATTTTTAGTGTGGAGAGAAAGGAAAGGGCTTGGGATGCTGGATTTGTTTTAATTTTAAAGACTGACCTAGCAGGATTTCCATACCAGCAAAATATCTGGAAGGAAAGCTCTACCTAATACAGGCCATCTGTCACTTTGTATTTTATCTTTGAAAATGCTGTACCATAGATAATGTCTAGACCCTAATTTTTATTTAACCAATATGTTAGTGTACATTTTTAGAAACTATATACTCCTTTAAACTTCTGAAACATTAAATGGCAAAAGTAGGAAAAATTTACTTAATTCCAGTTTCAAGAACGTTTTTAATTTGAAATGTAGGTGACATTTTAAATCATTTCCTTAATGAAGGGTTTTAAAGCTATTTTTCTTCTTTGTGAAGTTGTAGATACTAGTTTATTAGGAAGAGGAAAGCCCTAAAGTTGGTCAGGTCTTTTTCACACTGTATCTCTCCTGCAGCCAGACTGTTGATCTCCTCATGCAAGAGTCAGGATGTCGTTTAGAGCATCCTTCTGCTACCAAATTCCGAAATCATGTCATGGAAGGAGACTGGGATAAGGTAAAGTAGGGCATAGAGCTGTGTGACTGCTGCTTACACTGTGGATCTGGTGGGAAGTTGTGACATTCTGGTTTTTCTTTTATATCATTTTTTTGCAGGCAGAAAATGACCTGAATGAACTAAAGCCTTTAGTGCATTCTCCTCATGCTATTGTGGTAAGAGGCGCACTTGAAATCTCTCAAACGTTGTTGGGAATAATTGTGGTAAATACACTTTTGTTCTTAGTTTCACATTTATGCTTATTTTAGGTTATTGATAACTATAGGCATCTGATCTTAAGAGGCTTGAAAGTAAATTTTACCTGATTTATAAATAAGAATGAGTTTATGATTGTAAGCTATGAACTTTAACTGTTTTAAGTCATACTTAGCAAATGTCATTTGAAACAATTGATAATTTAAGCTTTATACAAATGTAAAGATCTTCCTACTTTTAGTGCTGTTAAGAATAAAATATACTTTCATATCACTCAAAATACTCAAATGTATTGGGTGTGTGTATACTGTACAGCCTGAAGAAGCTGCTTCATTGGTTTTTCTGATCATTGGAATTACATAGTTTAATTATTACTGTTGATGTGCCCACCCTGTTCTTTCATTCAGGTTATGTGAATGACAGGTGTGAAAATTTGGAGGATAGTGTCACCTTGGGAGGGTTAGGTGCAGGTTTGGCTATTGGGCCCTGCTTTCCAATCCTTATTTTCTTGACAAGATAGTTTAATAGTTTACCCTTGTTAATCTCTTTCATAAACCTTGACCGGTTTAGTTTTGTTGTGGTTTTTTATGCTGGTGGGTTTTAATTCTTTAGGAGGAGTATATTGTTTTGTTTTTGTTTTATTCTGTTTTTAAAACATGAGTGATTGGAACACGTAAAGAATCAGCTGCTGGCTTATAAACTTGTAGCTGATTCATGTATTGTCAAAAGAAGTTTCCTGTCTGGTGGTGGAGGGACAAAGGAGCCAGTAGGAAGTGAAGTAGGAAGGCAGCTGCTTGTTAAATGCTAATATGTGACCATTAACATTTCCTTTTTTAAATTGGGTCAAACATTAACCCTTTTTATCTTTGTCTATAAACGTGATTGAGCCTTGGCTTTTTGTTTGTTTAAAAAAACTTTATTGCAAATTTGTTTGAAATTCTTTATATTCTGTGCAATAATATAACCTTAGAAAGTGGGCTTCAGGCAAATTAAAGGTCTAAAGAAGTATGACATGAAGTTAGTTAAATTCATGGTTCAGTTCTTTCTTTTTTTTTTTTTTTTTGGTTTTTGGTTTTTGGTTTTTCGAGACAGGGTTTCTCTGTATAGCCCGGGCTGTCCTGGAACTCACTCTGTAGACCAGGCTGGCCTCGAACTCAGAAATCCGCCTGCCTCTGCCTCCCGAGTGCTGGGATTAAAGGCGTGCGCCACCACCGCCCGGCGGTTCAGTTCTTTCAATAAGTACCCAAAGTACTAAAAAATTTAAACCAGTATCAAGTCAAATGATTTAACTTAAGGAATAAAGAATTCCACAGTGTAATTTAAAGATAAGAATGAGCTAAGGTAATTAAGTGACTGTATTTGAAGGGAATCATTTTTTTTTTTTTTCAGGAATTAGAGTGCCCTCAATTTGGTATGTCTGGGCTTTCAACCCTGATTATGTTTTAATTGGAAAGTTTTTCACACATTTTTGACTCAAACTGAATGAGCTAAAACAAAGAAAATAACATGGCCAAACTCTGAGTTGGGATTTATTGGTGGCTATTTATTTGTGGAGTATTTTGATCTGATTTCTTGAAGTATGTTTTCACTTGTTTTTTTTTTTGTTTTTTGGGGTGTTTTGTTTTGTTTTATATTGGTTTTTTGCTTTCATTTTTTAAGTTTATCCAAATTGTGTCTGTACTCTAGTGGTAAAAAATTTAATGGATTCGCTTCTTTTAAAACTTGATTTATAGTAGTCTGAGACTTCTGCTTGGATTTAGATTATGACTCATTAGAAACTTCAATAGAAGCAACGTGTGAATTGAAGAAAGGTGGTTATAGATCATGAGGAGGAATCCTTTGTTTTTACAGCCTGTTGAGTCTGTAGAACATTCTAGGATCTAATAAGAGGTGAAGATTATATCTCTGGCTGAGCCTCACCCCGTCAAACTGTTTAGGTGTTTATACAAAGAAAGGGTCTGACTCTGTCTCCCCCAAGCACTGATGACTCAATTGCTGTTAACAATTTAGTTCAGCCTTTTTTGAAGCTGTTCTTCGCCTTTCTGATATTGTTTATTCCTTCCAAACTTCATTGCTAGAAGACCACTTATTATAGGCTGGACATGGGTTTTAAACATAATTATTTAATTATTTACCCAGATACTTAATGACATTATAGTCTCAAACAGCACGTTGATGTTATTTCTTATGATGGGAATTGAAGCCTGAGCCTTGTCTGGGTTAGCTAGTGCTCTGCCACTGAGCTACATCCCTAGCCTTTAGGCTGAACTTTGTTTATAACCCTGACTGGTTTTGTTGCTGTAGTTTACTCCTTCGCTTTCCCTGCCCCCATTCCGCACTCAGGATAGCAGGTGTTGTGGGTTTAAGTGTTAAGGTCATGAGTTCACCACAGTTTTTCAGTCAGTTTGAGTTGATATGCTCAGCCATGTCTGATAAATCTGGATAGGCATTAGAGACTAAGAACAGAAAATTGTTGTTTACAAAGTTTCTCTCTTTTTTTTTGTTTTTTAATGTCATAGAAATAATCTAAACAAAAATGGAAAAATACTGACTTGACATACAAAAAATGAACTCATAAAGAGCTTTGAGATCCATAGCTTAAATATAATTTATTTCTCCTTTCCTTGGAATCAGGATTTGATTGGCAAAATTTGCTTTATAACATTATTCCAGAGTTAAAGCCATCACAGTCAGGCTCCACGTGTATACTATGTCTGTTTTGTTCATTGTTAAATTTAGTCTATTAATGTGGGGAAAAAAAACAGTGATTCAGTTACTGGGCAAGGTGTGGGAGGGTCCAAGAATTTCAGTTTCAGGATGTTTAAAGGAGATGAGGGCTGGAGAGATGGCTGAGGTTCAGAGCACTGGGTACTTTCCCAGAGGTCCTGAGTTCAATTCCCAGCAGCTACATGGTGGCTCACAACCATCTGTAATGTGTTCTGATGCCCTCTTCTGGTGTGTCTGAAGAGAGTGACAGTGTATTCAAATACATAAATAAATAAATCTTGAAGGGGACGGGAGGGAAGGGGACCAGGTATTAAAAAGACATTGAAAAAAATCATCAGAGATCTAAAATAGTCTTCTAGAGGTCTAACTGGAAACTGGAGATTTCCTCGTTGCTCTCCACCCTCTGGCTTCTTTTCAGAAGTTTCTGATTTAAAAAAAAGAAAGGAGAGACCTGTATAAGCAAGCCTCAGTATGGCCTGTTTTCACTTTGTCAGAATTAAGCATCATTTGTGCATTCAAAGGGCTTTATTTCCTTGAGTGTCTTTTTGAGCTTTAAATTTAGGAAGGTAAAATACATTTCATTGTTACTATGTGCCAGATACTTAGACTGAGTAAAAGTTCCAGACAGATGAAGGCTTTTTCCTCAACAGCTCTCTAGCTGTGTTTGTCTAGCAACACATTAGTTGGCATGTACTAGGCCAAGCTTTGATAACCATTTGAGGGCGTTGGTTATCTTAATGTGGATGAAAATGACTCAGAAAACTGTTCTTGGACTGCTTTGAGAATGTCCCCTGTACATACAGAAGTATGTGTTTGCTCTTTTTTATCCTGCCCCATCTTTGTCTCAGTGACTACAGTAACATGTTCTGCCAGGACCTAGATGAGAAAGTGAGGGATAGATAAATTGCATTTGAGTGCTCTCTGTCCCTGTGTATACTGGGACATGCTGGACTGAGGGAGGAGAGAAGGAGGAAGAAATTAATAATAATTTACCAAAGACTTGCCTGGAAGTAAAAGGAAAAAGAATGTTTTCCAAATTCCCAATTGCTGAGAAAATGACTAGTTGCAAATGTTTTACATTTGAATTAAAAATACACTAAATTGATGAAACCTTCAATACCATGCTAATGTAGAAACTTCATTTGGTAAAATTGAACTTTTTTTCAGAATATGGTGAGAGTAGCCTAATAGCTTGACACATAAGCCCCCCCGCCCCCAGACTTTAAAACTTCATTTTAGGGTTTTGTCACCTGGTGAACTTCAAAGTATTTTTTTATTTGACATGTAAAAATAAGCTTAAGGATATACACACACACACATATATACACACACATACATATATGCACACATACATATACACTCAAATATACACACATAAACACACATACATACACATATACACACACACACATATATATACACACATGCACATATATATGTGTGTGTATATATACATATATATATATATATATGCACACACACATATACACACACATGCTTTTTAAAGCCTTTTGGTAGTTAGTCTGTTTCTGAATCTTTAGGCTTAGTCCAACGTTATGTGTAAAATCGGTAAGTGCAGTTTTTCCTCGTTACAGGAGTAGGTCTTAGTTTAAAAGGTTTTTTTTTGGTCTCACCTTTTAAAGTTTTAAGATTAAATTACCAAACATAAGTAGCATGTCTCACAATAGGTGTTTTTAAATAGTTGCTTGATTTATATAAGAGGTTTTTTGTGTCAGGTGAGGATTTATTAAACTGTTGTATTTGAGATCACAGTAGAATAATTTATATCTTCTAAATACTACTTCATGTAAAAATCTTATAAAAGTAGTTCATTATACTCTTATTGTGGTGTTACATGGTGATTTCTGCACACCATTTTGTAACAACTTAGAAACCTTTTTAAAAGTGGGTGTAGTTCTTCCACTTTTTGTGCAGCTTTTGAATGTGATGAACATTTCTGCCCCTCTCCTTGCTGAAGCCCGGGTGTCAGGTGTGAGGAGGTCTTTCCGAACAGTGGGGCTAGGTCAGGTCTAAGGCTACAGCCCTGCTAGACAGAGTGTTAGGAGTCGCTGCTCCCGTCTAGGAACACTTCGAGCACTGATCGTCACCTTCAAGTTTAAGATGATGATGTGACATTAAAAATATTAAAACCAAACACTTCCCTTTGAAAAAATGGGAAAGTGTTTTATAATTAAAAATTTTTTATTATTGTGGATAGAAAATAAATAATATCCGTCCCTGCCTTGTTTCTGAACATGTTTGTGGGCGTGACCAGATTATTACAAATATACAGACATAATAGATACCAAATCTTCCTACAGGCCATTCAGTCCAGCCTTTTGATGTGTGTCTTTATAACCATAGAGATAGCGAGGGAGCTTGTGTTTGCCCACTTCAGTTACAGGATCTCCAGACTTTTGCATACCAGCCTATAGTATGTATCTTGAGAAAACCCATTTGGCTTCCAATAAGCCCAAGTTTGGCACTCTCTTGCTTCTCTAAAGTCCTGCCTACCAGTCCCCTGAGCTCCTCCTTCAGTTTGTCTTTTTTGTTTTGTTGGGGGCTTTTAGTGTTGTTTTTGTGGTCCTAGAATCAAATCCAGAGCTCTGCGTACTCTGCATGCACCCTCCCACCAAGCCCTGCCACATTATGACTTGCATTGACTCTTAACTGTCCTTTTTTCACCAGTCTTTTCAAAGTTTGCTGCATAAGCCCAGTTCAGATCATCAGAAATTTTGAAAAGCAAATTTGGAATTCTTGGACTAGTTTTAAATGTTGATACATAAAATTAAAAATTCTAAGGAAATGTAAGAATAGTATTCATTTTTTCTTATGTTAATGCATCAGTCACTAATGGAGACTACTCATTCATTCAAAGAGTTTTATTGATGTGTAGCCTTAAGCAGTCGTATTTAACCTACGATGACTCGCAAACAAGAATATTTTGAGTCATCATGAAGCTTTATAAAATTATTTTCAGAAGACATAGTAGATGGTTTCTACTGTTCTGTTTAGGCACAAACGTTTTCTGAAACTTCCAGCAACTTTTTCCCCTGACTGCTGCTTTCTGTCATGTCAGAGGATGAAGTTTCTGCTGCTGCAGCAGAAGTACCTGGAATACCTGGAGGACGGCAAGGTCCTGGAGGCACTTCAAGTTCTACGCTGTGAACTGACGCCGTTGAAATACAATACAGAACGCATCCATGTTCTTAGTGGGTAAGGAAGTGGAGATCTCAGACTCCAGACTCATGAAGGGGCTTTTTTTTTTTAACAAAAGTTTAATGTTGGTTGAAATTATATTTCATTAATTTTTTTAAGGATAGAAAGTACCTGGATATTACTAAATTCTTAGTGTTGGATAAATTTACTTATGTATACAGAAACTATTTAGCTATTCATATTAAGATTTGAAATACTTGTAGGCGAAAGAGGGAAGAAATCCATATAGCCAATAACAATACTATGTCAAGATCTTCTCAAAAGAAGAAAAAGACAAAAAAAGAAAAGAACAAACCTCATAGCTTTGAATCACAGCAAGCAATAAAGGTCATACAAGTATTCTGCATACAAAGTTATCAGTCACTTAACTGGCTGCATAGACTTTATTTTTCTGTTGTATTTATTTATGTGTGTATTTAAATCATGATCTCATTACATAGCCTTGGTTAGCCTGAAACTCCTCCCTATGGAGACCAGGATGGCCATTCATAGAAGATGTGCTTGCCTTTGCCATCCTCTTGCTAGGGTTAAGATGAGTGCCATCGTGCTGGGCTCTTCTCTTTTAGTCAGTTGACCTCATTCTTTGCTGTACTTTGAGTACTAAATGCTAATGGTAGGTCTTCTTTTGGTTTTTGTATTGGTTTTTTTGATTCAGGGTCTCACCGTGTAGCTCTTGCTGTCCTGGAACTCACTGTATAGACCAGGCTGGCCTCGAACTCACCAGGCTGTGCTAGTGATTCTTATGTGCTCTATCTGATCCCATATTTGACAGTCTCCACTTGAATTGTAATAGGCATGTCCAGCCCAGATGTCCTGTCTTCAGACCAGTTGTCGTTGTGTTTTCTTCTTCATGGTGGCTTTTTACTATGTAATATGGTCTCAGCATCTGGAATCTATTGTGATAAAAGTGATATGGGTCATTTGAGAGTCTGCTAGATACTTTGGTACTGTGGCTGACAATTTATTTCTAGTTACCTTATTCATAGGTGTCTTACTTTACCAACTAAATGCCATTCACATGATACTGTTGTTTTCTTTCCTGCTCTGGTAACAGAGTGTCTGTCCACATCCCCCCCCCCCCCCCATATACCCACCCCCTTAGTTAATTTTGATACTGGGTCTTACTGTGAAGTCCTGGCTGTCCTGATAACTTTCAATATAGATCAAGCTGGCCTTGAACTTACAGAGATCCACCTGCCTCTGCTTCCCAAGTGTTGGGATTAAAAGTTTCAGCTATAACACAGGACCAGAACATATAATTTAATGCATAGTTTTTATTTTGAAGTTATCTTGAAAGAAAAAAATTACCTCCTGGCACTGCTGTGTCTTTTCTGTTCTACTGTGTCATTTCCCATAAGCACATTTATCTGAAACCCAAAGCTTAATAGTGCATAGTTTTGTAAAGGGCACAGACCATACATAGTTTCTGTCCCCAGTTTTGGAAGTGGTTGATGAGGGTTTCATGTGTTACAGGAAGCATCTATCACTGAGGTACATGTCCCCAGTTCCTTTCCTGCTTTTTGTTCTGAGACAGTGTAGATTCCCTGGCTAACACAGCTTTTGAAGCAGCTTGGGTTGCAGGCATGTGCTTTTTGCAAAATTTAAAAAATAAACAATTTTCCCACTTAGCTACTGACATTAAATTCTCCCACAACATTCCTTTTTTTCCCTTTCCTTTTTTTTTTTTTTTCACTTATTTTGTGTCATATACATGCACAGGTCAGAGGCTAGCTTGTGGGAGTTGATTCCCTTCCAGCCTGTGGCTTCCAGGGATCACACTTGGATTGCAAGGCAGGCTCGTATTCAAAAAGCCTTGACTGGCAAAACCTTCTCACTGGCACTCCAAACTCTTTTAGAGACAAAATATTCATAATACCCAGTTTCTCCACAGGCATGTTAAAGTATAATTACACTTTCTAAAAGGTTTTTTCATTAACCACAATTATATATCTCCACTAAATAGCAAGAAGACAGTGTGCTCTGTCTATGTAGGCTCTGATTGATCCTGGCGTCTGAGAGGCGACATGGAGTCTTACCTGTGCAGCAGCAGGGAGCAGAGTGAGCCCCTCTCTTTAGTTAGCCCTTGCTGCCTAATTGTCCTTTATACAAGTGACAAGAAAGGTATATTAGATTAGAACTCCCAGGAAAGCTACTTGCCAGATCTCACATCCAAGTTTGATAAAGGCCTTCCCTGGTCAGTCCTGTTCCCTAAGAAAAGCCGGGTTGGAGACAGGCCTCCTTCAGTAGGTTCCCATCTCTTTTCCAGAGTTGAGGATCTCAGGCACTTCTACCTCTGTCTGCACAGAGTGAGAAGTAATGCTGGGGTCTCAGGCATACATAGCCCTACCTGGCTTCTGTGTACTTGACCTCAGATTCTTATGCAAAGCAAGCACCATTATCCACTAAATCATCTTCTTAGTCCCTAAGTCATTTTGATTTGTATTTTTAGTACTTAGAGTAGAGAGGAAAGCTGTGAAGTTAGCTCAGTGGTGAAGAGCAAGGTCTGCAGCTAGGATGCCTGGGTTTCTGTGTTCCCGTTTTGCCTACCTCCTCTCAAGACTACTTCCTAAGCCTTCATGAACGTTTCTTCATTTATGCAACTAGAATAATAGTGTTTGCTTCATATGGGATAGTTATGGGCATTTGATGAAGTGTGTGCTAGGAATTTGGGGCATAACCACATTATATAACAAATAGAAGGGAGTACTTTTATTGCAACAATAGTATTAGGTTTTTCAGTACTATTACTACTTTTAAATAATGTTTTGCCTCTTAATGATTTTATGAAGGCACTAGGTTGTATTAATAAATTGAATTCACTGTAAAAAATTTTTGATTTGTGTAAGCAAGAACTTGATTGTGAAAATATAATCAACTGTTTTTCAATTTCATTCCAAGGAAAAGGGTTTGAGATTTGTTTGCTACTCTGTTAAAGGTATCTGATGTGTAGCCATGCAGAAGACCTACGGGCAAAAGCTGAATGGGAAGGCAAGGGGACAGCTTCCCGATCCAAACTGCTGGACAAGCTTCAGAGTAAGAATCATTTCTGATGTGTATTTCCTCTTCGGTCACAAGTAGATACTGGAATGTCAAATAGGAAGCTTGTCCTTAGTCACGTTACTGAGTGCTTGTGGAAGAAAAGGGACCCATTAAAGATCCTTTCAAACCAAAGATTTCACCAGCTGTAACCTCGAGTCACTGAGAAAATGCTGGTCTCAGCACTCTCCTTTGTGGTTGTGTTGTTTAGTGACGCTCTCTGTTTCTTTTGGAAGAAGAGTCCTAGAGTCAGAGAACAACATGTGAGCCACAGCTTCACATCAGAGCATTTTACAGTTTGCGTTTTTTCTTTAGAAGAGACCAGATTTCTTTTTCTATTTTCTGTTTTGGGTTTTTGAGACAGGGTTTTTCTCTGTAACCCTGGCTGTCCTGGACTCCCTTTGTGTAGGCTAGACTGGCCTTGAACTCTTGAGATCCACCTGCCTCTGCCTCCTGAGTCCAGGGACTAAGGCATACTCCATTGTGCCTGGCTGGGTTCCAGATTTCTTTAGGTAAATTGTTTTCCCCAGCTATGTTTCAGCACTTTCAAGTTGAGTTGGGAATTTCATTTTTGCCATATCTTTATATAAAATACCCCCTTTCTATTCAAATCATGCTACTGTATCGTGTTGCAGTGAGAGTGGAAATCTCAGGAATCAGAAAATAGACACTCCATATGCCCTGGAGAAATGCTTGAGGATTGGAATAAGTTTGTATTGATATTAAAACACTATTGTGTGAGTTTCCACAGTACCCTTGGCATTAGTAGCTACTGGAGGCAGCTAGAACCTGGCCAGTCAGTGTTTTGGCTTATTCTTTGTTAAGAATTTTTTTTAAACTGGTCGTCTACTGATAACATAATCACCATCAAATTTTCTACTCATCTTCCTTTCACTTTTGTGGTATTTTTCTGTATGTGGTGTTTCCCCCTAGAAACTCTACCTACAAGATGCCGCAATACATTCCTCCTTAGTGGCTGTGTTACCGTAGCCCTTAATGAGGGTTGAGAGCGTCACCTTACGTCATCTCCCTAAGCTTGTCAATGTGAAGGAGACAGGAATATTGAGGTGACAGGAACAACGGGAGTAAATGTCTTATATACACTTTACAGTTTATTATTATTTTTATTTCTCTTTTTTTAAAATATCTTTTATTAAAGCCTATTTACCACCATCAGTGATGCTTCCCCCACGGCGTTTACAGACTCTCCTGCGGCAGGCGGTGGAACTACAAAGGGATCGGTGCCTATATCACAATACCAAACTTGACAATAATCTAGATTCTGTGTCTCTACTTATAGATCATGTTTGTAGTAGGTAAGAGAAAATTCTTTACATTTCCAATATGTTACCACTTTACAGATGGATTTATGAACCTTACTGGAGTACTTTCTAGAGTTTCTTTGTATAGCTTGTATAACAGTTTATACTTGATTAACACTTAATTCACAGAAAACTCCAGGGCTACTAAAATGAAAGCTTAGTAGAAAAAAAAATCATAAAAAATTAGTTTCTGTCGTATAAGCCTGTGTTGATGTAGTATGCCACAGTTGGGAGCTGAAGCCCAAAGACCAAGTTTTTGTGTTTTGTCTGTAGATTTGGTCACCTGTGTTCAGCGGTTAAACTATGCACCAAATTAAAATCTCTGCATATAAATACCATGGAAATACTTTTCCTTAATGAAAGTTCTGTTTTTTTGTAATTGAAGACTTCAAAAATGGTTAGAATAATGGGCATTACCTTTGTCTTCATGTTCACTAAGCCAGGCACATGACTGAACTTGGAAGAATTCAAGTTTGCCTTTTGATGTTGAGTTGTTTTTGTTTTTTTAAGTAAAAATGTCTTTTCTGTTTTAATGACGCTCTCCAAAATTAAATCAGAACTTTAAAGTTAAAATACCAATATAGAAATTTTAAAAACCCTTTCAAACTCTAGAAAAACAGGCAGCTGACATTTTTTTCTGATGATATTCATTGAAGAATTAATGAAAGTATTAAATTTCAGTAATGGGAAAACAGAAGTGTGTATGTGGGACAAAAAGGAACAGCCAGTAACACACGTAGATACCAGTTTAAAATAATGTTGAGGTGTGTTTAAATTAGGTGTTTTACTTTGGTTTTTGTATTTCATTAGTGCTGGGAAATAGAACATAAGTCCTTTCAAATGCTAGTCAAAAGCTCTGTCACCGAGCTACACCCCAGCCCTACAATCTGCCTGTGTGTACAGTTGTGACATCACTCACCACACTTAGGAAAAACTGTGTGTGCTGTTGCCCTTATGAAATGCTGCTGCTCATGAAGTCCTGGGTTGGGGCTTGTGTGAGGCACTGCTCTGCTAGGAAGTGATCAGTGCTCACTTTCAGCCCCTCCACTACTTAACACCCCTTGACTTATTTGGGAGATTTTTAAATAATTTCCTGTTTAAATTGGGGTCAGAGGGAGATAATCGAGTAAAAGGCTCTATAGTCAGTCCCTTGTTTCATGGCTCCTGTAGGTAGTTGGAAACTGTCAAAATTAAGGCCATTGTAGACCAAAGTCTCTGTGGCTCAAATTAATTTCTACTGGGACACTGAAAGGTGAAGCTAGACCTGCTGGTAGCAGGCGTATTGGAAAGTGAGAGCCTTTCCTTCCTGGGTGGAGACAACCTATGTGAAGAGGGTTTGTTTCCCTATAGACTCCTTTATTCCTGATAGCAATGTCTGGAACCAATAAACAAATACTAGTCTTCCTTTTCCATCCTTCACCTTGGGCACAGGGCTGCTCCTCAGTCCATGTGTAATTTTACTAGGACTGAAAAGTTCTTATTTTTCTAAAGTAGTTAATTGTTCTTTGGGTCTTCTTTAAGATTTTTAAAGATAAAAACATGCATACTCATGGTGCACAGACTACTTGCAGGCAAAACACCCGTACATACAAAAATAAACTAAAAAATAAGAAAATTAAACAGTTTTGCCTCGTGTTCACCACCTACCTTCAAAGGTAACTAACTCCTCATATCGTTACCAAGTACAGTTCTTTTGTCCGTGTTCTGGTTTTTCTTCTTCGGGTTTCTATAGGATTAATGCCTATAGAGAAAACAGCATAAAACTTGGTGATGTTGGTGAGGGACGGTCTGTTTACTTTAGCAACTGCTTTCCAGTTCATCTTATGTTTGCTGTAGTGTTTGAGCACTCTTTGAATGAGTATTCCAAGCTCTAGATGGATGCTCTGGCCCCTCTGAGCTCTCTCTTCCCTGCCTGTCCCTTTAGTCCCGTGTCCAGGGGATGACTTCTTTCCCCATCCTCCTTCCATAGATGATACTCCCCATAAATCTGATGACTCCTGGAAACAGCAGAGCTGCAGTTTTTCCTCTCTTGAGCCTCAGATCCATGTGCAGTTTGGCTGTTGCTCTAGATAAACATAGCAGATCCAAATAGATTTTCTCTACCTCTTTCCCCAGACCTACTAAGGCTGTTTTTTACATTTGAAATCTTTTTTATTATTTTTTTGTTTTTCACATGTATGATATATATGCTTGAGTGAATGTGTTTTTACATGTGTGGGCACTCATGTTGGGTACACATGTCTGTGTGGGTGTGTCTGTGTGGAGGCCCAAGGTTGGTGTTGGGAATCGGCCTGAGTTGTTGTTCCACTTTATTCTTTTGAGACAGGGTCTCTCGCTGAAGCTGGAGCTCACCACTCCCAGCAAATCTCTAGCCAGCTTTCTCCAGGGACTCCCTGTCTCCACTTTGAAAGGCTGGAGTTGCAGGCTGGCCATCATGTCCACCTGGCATTTACATGGGGTTCAGGCATCTGAACTCCTTCCTCTTGCTTGCATGTAAGAACTTCAGCTGCCAAGCTTTCTTCCCATCCCTGCATTTTCTATCTCAGGGAGAATCTACCTACCCAGTTTACCAAGCCGGAAAACCAGGAGCCATCCCCCGCTGTTCATTCTAGAGGTAGATTTTAAGAACACTAAGAGATTAACACCAGGCATTAATTAACTCAGTAAGTTGTACCCTTCGTTGCCAAACTGGAAAATAGAGCCTCAATTTATTTAATTCTTAAGTTTAGCTGGAGGTCTTCAAAAGAAAAGTTGATAATTTTTAGCCATCCGGTTTATTTTCTTCTAGAAAGTAGATTTTAGCATTGCAGCTAGAAATTCTCTGAAATTACATGTAAATATTGAAAGCGAACCAATTCTCTCCTCTCTGTAGAATTGGTCACGAATAGATGAATTGTGACATTGGAAAACATATGTAAGCACTGGAAAGGCTTTTATCAGTTAATATGCTCATAATTTTGGTTTTAAAGATTGACTTTGGTCAGAATGTTACTCTTAGCTGTGTTTTCTTTTGCACAGTACTAATTTTTAATACAATCTTAAATTTTAAATTCCTTTGAAGGAGACATCAACTACCAGTTGTGTATCTGAAAAAAGGCTGTTTTCAGTAACATGAAATTTGCATGTTTACTATATATAGTCTTTATTTTTAGATTTTTTTTTTAAAGATTTATTTATTTTGTATATGTGAATACATTGTCACTATCTTTACACACACCAGAAGAGGGCATCGGATCCCATTACAGATGGTTGTAAGCCACCATGTGGATGCTGGGAATTGAACTCAGAACCTCTGGAAGAGCAGTCAGTGCTCTTAACCACTGAGCCATCTCTCCAGCCCCTATTTTTAGATTTTTAAAGCAGATTTTATTTTATGTATATGAATGTTCTGCCTCTATGTACTGTGTGCATGCCTGGTGCCTACAGAGCCCAGCTGGGTGTGCTAGCTGTCCCGGAGCTGGTGTACAGACAGTTGTGAGCTGCCGTGTAGGCACTGGGGACTGACTCGGGTCTGTTTACAAGAGCAGCATGTGCTCTTAAGCACGGAACAGTCTTTCCAGCCCTGCTTTAGTCTTAATAAAGATTAAATAATAATATAAAATAACTGACAGCTGTCAGTAGATGAAATGATTTATGCCCTGTAATTTTGAGTCAATCCTTAACTTAAAATATAATTTGCTAATCTAAATGAATCTTTTTTACTGTGATCAACTTTAGGTATTTAAACTTTTTTTTATTGAAATTCAGTCTTTGAAAAATATTTAAAGTTGACATTTAGAAAATTAGTGCAGTTAATCATAAGCTCAAATTTTAGTTCAGTTACTAACAGTTTTGTGAAAATCTGGCAAGATACTTGGCTTTTTGAGCCTTGTAAAAATGGGCTCGATAAAATTTCTTTTGTCAAGTTAGTTTCAAGAATACTAATTCTTGAATGACTCAGCAGTTAAGAGTATTTGTTCTTGAGGAGGACTCAGGTTTTATTCCCAGCACTTACATGGTTAACAGCTGTGTATAACTCTAGTTCCAGGGCATCCAGTGCCCTCTTCTAGCTTCTGTGGACACACTGCACATAAGGGGTACACAAACATAAACGCAGACAAAACACCCATATACATGAGACAAAAATAAAATTTAAAGCAATATTTTTTGAAAGGTGTTACATACAGTACTTGGTACTGTACTTGCCAATACTTGTTTAATAAAATACAAATATGTATAATTTTGGTTCAGTGAAAAATAACTTTAATGTTGATGCAATTTTTAGTTAAGTATCTAAAAGTTTAAAGTTGCCAAGTATTGCCTCCTCAAGTTAATTGTAGCCTGTCAGGCTGATGAGTTGACAGTGCACGTCTTCTCTATGTGCATACCAATACACTTTTCTTTTGAGATGGTCTTGCTGTGTTGCCAGTACTGCTCTCAAACTCTTGGGCTCAGGTGGTCTTCCTGCGAGAACTTCACAGGTGCTGGGGCCATAGGCTCATGCCACTATGTTAGCTCCTGTTATTTATTGGTAGGAAAAAAAAAATAGAGAAGACTGTTGAAGTCTTTGGTGATAAATTTAAAAGTGTGACCTAAAGCAAAATCAAGCCTGCTTGCCTACTATTAATCCAATACTTGGAAGACTGAGGCCAAAAGATGAAGAGTTTCAGATGAGACTGAGCTACAGTAGTAAGAACCAGTCTCAAAATGGAGTCAGAGGTCTGGAGAAATGGCCCAGTAGTTAAAAGAGCACTTGCTGTTTTTGCAGAGAAATGAGTTTGGTTCCCAGTACTCACATAGTGGCTCACAAATGTAACTTCAGTTCCAAGGAACCTGACACCCTCTCCTGGCCTCCACAGGATACAGGAAGCATGCATATGAAGCACACACATATATGCAGGCGAAATACTCACAAACACATTCCCTGCAAGAGTTGTTTTGATCCTTCCATCATGTGGGTCCCAGGAGTTGAACCAGGTTGTCAGGCTTGACAGCAAGCACTTCCCACCCCATTGAGCTGTCTTGCCAGCCCCTCTCTTCAGTTTTCAGTGAGTGTGCATGCATGTCATAGTTGGAGGCAACAGGCAGTGCTGGGATCGAGGGAATGTCCGTAAGTCAGCTGAGCAGCAGCACTTACATTCTCACTGCTCCTCCGTCTCGTTTGTCATATCAAGTCTTTAACAGTAGCTTACCGATTTTATGTGCTTAAACATGCCGGGTGACTACTTATTCCTTGTCCAACAGCCGCCATTCATCCATAAAGTGGATAAACATAATTCCTGAAGAATAATAATGTATATGAATTGTCTTAATCAGACCAAGTAGCCTTCAGAAGGTAGCAAAAAGGTAAACTTTAGGTTGAAGTAGATTTTATATTAACACATTTTCATTAGAATTGGCTTGAAGAAAAAAAAGTACGTGTTGTTAGAGTGTCTTATTTTTCAACATACTAAAGTAAATTTGATTCTTGAGTTGTAAATGCACTCATATTTATATTGAGGTTCATGATATGATCTCCAAAAGTCCTCTCAGTTGTTAAATGTCGAAAGAATAATTATGTGTGGATTTGTTTGTTTTAGGAGGCAGTTTCCCTGTTACACTCAGCAGATCCTTACAGAGCATTGTAATGAAGTGTGGTTCTGTAAATTCTCTAATGATGGCACTAAACTAGCAACAGGATCAAAGGATACCACAGTTATCGTATGGCAAGTTGATCCGGTATGTATTAGTGTGTGTGTGTGTGTACATGCATAGTTTAGATTTGTGTGTGTGTGTCAGCGTATCGTGTGTGTGCCTTTCTTGCATAGGCCTGAAGAATGCATCCGACCCAAGTTACGTATGACTGAACCACAGTGTAGATTCCAACACTTTAAACCCAGGTCCTCTGCTAGAGTAACAGTGCGGGGCTCTCTCTCTCCAGCCCTAAAAGGGGGGGTACTTTTGAATCTGACTTCACTGGTTATCTTTTTGTTCTTATTTTCTGAGACAGGTTTCTCTGTGTATCCCTGACTGTTCTGGAACTCACTCTGTAGACCAAACTGACCTCGAACTCAAATCCACCTGCCTCTGCCTCCTAAGTGCTGGGATTAAAAATGTGAGCCAACACTGCCCGGCTACTTACCTATTTGTTTTTAATATATGTATGTCAAAGTAGTCTTCTGCAAGTCTTATTTTGGTCATATTTGTCACTTGATTTTATTTATTTATTTATTTATTTATTTATTTATTTATTTATTTATTTATTTATTTTGAGACAGGTCTTTATTCAGTTTTCCAGACTTTTGTAGAACTCAAGACTCTCCTGACCCAGCCTTCCTTCCTGAATATAGAGATACATCATCATACCTGACTGTTAATCACGTTTTTCTAATTTTTTTTCCCATTTGTGTTTTTCTTTATGTTTATAGATTAACATTATTCCAGTTGAACATACAGTGTTAAGCACTAGAGATTGTGCCAAGTTGGTATGCATTATGTAACTATCTGAGTGATTTGGAGGTGCTGAAATACAGTCTCCTGAATTGTGATGAGGAAACTGGGGTGAAGTGTTGAGTGCTGAGGATAATTGGTGGTACAGAGGGATCCCATGTGCAGTCTTCCCCGAGTTTCCCCAGTGATGTTTGAAAATTACTGCATGAGTTTTAAGTGTTAAATTTTCTCTACTCAGAATTGTCTTTATTACCTGATAACCTATGGATATAAATAAATGTGTTCATTTCTTCTAACCAGGTAAACATACACACATACCCAGCTTGTCTGTTATTCAAAACAGAATGTGATTTCTTTTTTTCTTTTTCTTTTTTTTTTTTTTTTTTTTTTGGTTTTTCGAGACAGGATTCCTATGTAGTCCTGGCTGTCCTGGAACTCACTCTGTAGACCAGGCTGGCCTCGAACTCAGAAATCCTCCTGCCTCTGCCTCCCAAGTGCTGGGATTAAAGGCGTGCGGCACCACTGCCCGGCCAGAAATCTTTTTTTGAGAATTATTTTATGTCTATGAGTACACTGTTGCTGTCTTCAGACACACTAGAAGTAGGCATTGGATGCCCGTGAGCCACCATGTGGTTGCTGGGAATTGAACTCAGAGCCTCTGGAAGAGCAGCCAGTGCTCTTCACCTCTGAGCCATCTCTAGCCCTACAGAAATCTTTTAACAGTTTTTTACAAGAAATGAAGTCACTGATGCCAGCTGACCCAAACAACAAACAAATGCTACCAAGGAATTTCCATATGTTGTACCTGATATTTCTGGTAGATATTTATGAGGCCACTGCCATTCTGCTTTCAGCAACTGATTGTCATAGCACGCACGCACTACTTTGGTTCTGGGCATAGAAGCGTGCAATAACTCAAAGTTGCAGCTGTATAATTAGCTTAGGTTGTGAAAGTTGATTACCTGGGAAATAAAAGGCAAAGCAACTAAGGTTGTAGTTTACATTGATCTCTTTTTTTTATTGTTTGTTTATTGAGACAGAGTCTTTCTCTGTGTGTAGCTATGGCTGGCCTTGAACTCAGAGATCTACCTGCCTTTGCCTCAGGAGTGATGGGATTAAAGACTTGTGCTACCGTACTGTGATATCATGTTGATATCACAGTATTAATGGTAAAAGACATGTCCACAGAAAAGTGCCTACATAATCTTAGCCATTTTGCTCTTAACGTTCAAAAATATAGAAACCAAATAGAGAAAATGTTTGTAAAATGGAGTACCACTCAATAAAATTAGATACCCTATGGCATGAATGAATCACAGAGACATTGGAGTGAATGAAAGAAGCCAACTAAAAGAGACTCTATTGTGTTAATTTATCATATGAAATACCCAGAATAGACAACAAATCAATAAAAACAAAGGAATCATTGCTAGAAACTACGGGGAAAGAAATGATCACTACCAGACACAAGATTTTTTTGGGGGGGTGATAAAAATGTGATTAGACATTGGTAGATGTAACTGTTGAACTTTATTCCCTAAGAGGATGTATTTTATGCATTCATGTGTCTGTTAAGTTTTCCACATTTTTAAGAAGAGCTGACTTTTGGTATGCACATCTACTTTCAGTCTCAAGTTTTCCCAGAGCAAATTCTGTGGCAGTTTCATATATTTATATAGTACACATCTTGTCTAGAGTAGGCAGTTAGTCGATGTTAGGGAACGTCTGAAGCAAGTTGCCGAGCTCACAACTTCTTGTTATAGTAGGTAGGTAGTCAGTGTGAGTGAATATCTGTGAAGCAAGCTGCCGAGCTTAAGCGAGATTGTCACAGAAACATCAAGAATAAACGAGGCCACCCATGTGCTAAGTTCTTATGCTGGAGAATGATAGCTGTCAGGGTGGGAGTTAACCATATTGTCTGTTTTGTTTTTTAGGATACACACCTGTTAAAACTGCTTAAAACATTAGAAGGACATGCGTACGGTGTCTCTTACATAGCGTGGAGTCCAGATGACAGCTACCTTGTTGCTTGTGGTCCAGATGACTGCTCTGAGCTTTGGCTTTGGAATGTACAAGTGAGCAAGTTCTATCCTTGATTTAAGACCAACATGCTCTTAATACATAGATTTGTTAAAACTCTTATTCTTGTTCAGCATAGTGGACCTTCCTTTAATCCCAGCACTCAGGAGGCAGAGGCAGGCAGATCTCTGACTTTGAGGACAGCCTGGTCTACAGAGGGAGTTCCAAGTCAGCCAGGGCTACACAGAGAAACCCTGCCTCTAAGGGAAACAAAACAAAACCAAAGAAAGGAAAAAAAGAAGAAAAAAAAACATTATTCTTGGTTTATAAAACAAAACCCTTTAACCTAAATTACTATAACTTGTCTCCTGTAAGTTATAGTGCTTCAAGTGTTCAGAGCACAGGTGTTTAGATTTATAAATTTAAATATATTTAGGGCAGTAAAGCTTATTTTATTAAAGGACGATCAGTAAGCATTTCCAACATGTTTTGCTTTGCTCAATGGAATTTATACTGATGAATCAGAAAAAAATTTTATGTTTTCATTATTATATGTAAAATGTAAAATATCTGTTAAATATAATTTCATATTTTGATGGCAAGTACACCATCTCTCAGCCTACATTTAATAGTCTGAGCTAGTTTAGTGCCACTAAAGAATGTTCTAAGGGGCTGGTGAGATGGCTCAGTGGTTAAGAGCACTGACTGCTCTTCCAGAGGTCATGAGTTCAAATCCCAGCAACCACATGGTGGCTCACAACCATCTATAATGATATCTGATTGCTCTCTTGTGGGGTATCTGAAGACAGCTACAGTGTACTTACATATAATAAATAAATAAATAAATAGTTTTTAAAAAAAAAAGAATGTTCTAAGAACATACTTTCATATTACTTTTTCTAACTTAAAATTTAATTTATGATACTATCTTAGAAAAACTTGGCATTAGATTTATTCTATTTTACATGTTTTTGAAACCCCATATTCAAAATTTAAACTCTTGAGTAAAAAATGATAATCTATGGTTTGAGTATAAAAATAAAACTCGATGGGATAAACCTTTGGATATAGTAACTGTTAATACAAGACCAAAAATAATACACCAAACAGGGTGTGGTGCCGTACACCTTTGATTCCAGCACTTGGAAGGTGGAGGTAGGGGCAGCTCTTAAGTTCAAGGCACCCTGGTCTGCATAGCCAGGAAAACTGGGACTATATTAAAAAAAAAAAAAAAATGTGATACTTGACAGAGGTGACTCAAGGAGCAGGGGAGCCATGGACAAGAGAGTGCACACTGACCAGAGGCACGGTCTCATGCTGTCTGAGGAGGGTGCTACTGCTTCCTCGGAAGTCACCATGTGGTGCAAGAACCAAACCTGGAAGAACAAGTGCTCTTAATAATGGACGTGCCGTCTCCTACACCTCTTACTTTCTAACCCACATCTCATTTTGTTCCAAAAATGTCTTTTACGCTATTTGTATCAAGTTAGCAATTAACCACTGTTAAGTTTGGGTTTAGGGAGATTGCAAAACAGGGATAAAATTGGAATAAAACAGAGTGGATCTGATCTAAATGATCTCTCCCCTTCCCCTTTAAAGCTTTTTCCTCTTCCTAAGTAGGCTATATAGTATTATAAAGGATACATGACTGGTACTTGTGTGGTCAGTACTTGAGTCAGGGTTTAGTTTCTGGGTTATGGTTAGTATGATATAACTGTTCCTATGCACTCTTTGTTAAGGCTTTCTTTTTTCTAGAAGAGTAGTCTTTTAAGATGTCTGAAGATGCTGGTGGTGGTGGTGGTGGTAGTAATGATGGCAGCACATGTCTTTAAGCACTGTGGAGGCAGAAGCAATCAGATCTCTAGGCTCTAGGCCAGTCAGGACTGTACAGAGAAACCAAATGAATGAACAAATAAATACCAAAACAAGAAACTGCTTGTGTTTACCATAGGTTCCTAATGGAATGACCTCATCTCTGTGCATAGAGTTACTGTTTTAATGGATTTGTTAGAAGTAGACACTCAAGGGGCTAGAGAGATGGCTCAGTGGTTAAAAGCACTGACTGCTTTTCCAAAAGTCCTGAGTTCAGTTCTTAGCAATCACTTGTTGGCTCACAACGATCTATAATGGGATCTGCTGCCCTCTTCTGGCACACAGCTGTATATGCAGATAGAGCACCATATACATTAAATAAGTAAACCTATAAAAGAAAAGTATATACTCAAGATTTAGGTGCTTTTTAAACTTTTTTACCTGTTTTGGTCAAGTGACTAAAGCAGCAGTTGAGTAGCTGAGGAAAGGTGATAGCTTAGGGAAAGATTTCGATGTCAAATTGGGTTTTTCACTTGTTTTGTCTCTGTTCCTCTCATATAAGAGAGACATCCCATTTTCTGTTGCATGCCTCTTGTGCCTTTACCCCTGATCACACCCTCTGTTTCCCCTCTTACTTTACCTCTTAAGTACCCAGTCCTCACGGGACACTTGTACCCATGGTCTTTTTGTTATGCCTATGGCAGCAATTGCCTCTCAGATCCTGGTTCTAATCCCTGAACAAAATAGAGCAAGACCAGATGAAATGGTGTGTGTACTGTCTCCTAAGTGGAATAACTTAGAACATATAACAGGAGCATGTCTGAGGCTTAAGCACTAAACAAGCTTGCTTAGTTGGAAGCACCATAGAATGCTGAACAGTTCAGAGGTTTGTTCTTTGTTCTGCTTTATATTGAAATAAAGTTATATATTACAAAAAAGTCTTCTTTTCCCATCTTCCCTGCTATATTGTGAACATTTGAATATGAAATTTAGTACATAAAATTGTCCTTAGCATATTTAAGAGCATATCTTTACTACCCATTAATCCTGTTCTTAAAGAATTGCTAGTTGCATTAATGTAGGATGTTTTAGGTAAAATTCATAAAGAATTTTGGACTGAGAAGCTTTCAGGTGTGTGACTTGGGGGCTTTTCATTGCCTTGATTGTGAAAAATTGTTAGTTTGTAAATATAATTCTTTTTTTTTTTTTCTTTCTTTCCTTTTTTTCAAGACAGGGTTTCTCTGTGTAGCCCTGGCTGTCCTGGAACTCACTCTGTAGACCAGGCTGGCCTCGAACTCAGAAATCCGCCTGCCTCTGCCTCGCAAGTACTGGGATTAAAGGCGTGTGCCACACTACCCTGCCAAATATAATTCTTTTAAGATAAAAATATTAAAATTCACTAAAGCTTATCTAATATCTGAACTTGTTAATTTTTCTTTGCTGTAGTCTTGTTTCTGCCGAGGCTGCAAAATGTGTTTCTCTGATCAGAGTCTGCTTCAGTTACTGTCTCTCCTTTCTGTCTCCCCTCCTTCCTCTTCCTTTCTAGTCTTTTTCTTTCAACCCCTTAGAGACAAATCTCAAACATCTTATCCACAGTTTTATTTCCTTATAGACGGGAGAATTAAGAACAAAAATGAGCCAATCTCATGAAGACAGTTTGACCAGTGTAGCCTGGAATCCAGATGGGAAGCGCTTTGTGACAGGAGGCCAGCGTGGTCAGTTCTACCAGTGTGTAAGTACTGAGTGCTCCCTGCCAGGGTCTGACTGTTTCAAAGTAAGTTGTTTGTTTGTTTTTTTTTTTTAAATATTTATTTATTTATTTTATTGATGAGTACATTGTAGCTGTCTTCAGACACACCAGAAGAGGGCATCCAATCTCATTACGGATGGTTGTGAGCCACCATGTGGTTGCTGGGATTTGAACTCAGGACCTCTGTAAGAGCAGTCAGTGTTCTTAACCACTAAGCCATCTCTCCAGCCCTGTTTGTTTGTTTTTAATGGTTATTTAAATTTATGCTTTCCAGGAATAGTGGCACATGCTTTAAGTCACAACCCTTGAAAGGTGGAGGTAGACAGACCTCCATGAGTTTTACAGGCTAGCCAAGGCTGTATAGTGAGAGTCATCCCAAACAAGAAGAAAATAAAATAAAAACAGATTCATTTGACACACATTTTATGAAAATCTATTTTACCTTCTTCTTAATAGAATATTTGTTACTTTTCTTCATATTTTTAAAATTATTTCACGTATTCATGAAAAGTGTGGAATTAGCTATACTCCTGGTATTTGGGAGGTAGAGGTGGGTGGAGCTCTTGAGTTCTAGGTCAGCCAGGATTACATAGACTCTGTCTCAAAAACAAAGGTACTAATTTAAGACTGAAAATTTCAGCAATTTCTTTTCAGTAGCTTTAGACCTTTGTAAGTAAAACACTACTAGCAAGGCATGGTGGCCCATGCCTATAATCCCTGCACTTGGGAGACTGAGATAGGAAAATTGCACAGTTAGAGGATAGCCTGGGCTATAGGGAATTAGATACCAACATGGACTATAAAGTGAGAGACCCCATCTCAAGAAATAAACAAACAGTATTTGTAGGGCTGGGGATATAGTTCAGTTTGTAGGTGTTGCCTAACATACACAGAGCTCTGAGTTTGCTCCCCAGGACCCAGTAAAACTAGGCATGCATGGTAGCACACACTGCAATTGTAGCACTTGGGAAATAAAGACAATAGGATCCTAAGTTGAAGGTCCACCTTGGCTGCATGCTCAGCCTGGAATTTATGAGACCTTGTGTGGAACAACAACAAACCCACAAGAATGCTGATTTTTAATGAATAGACTAAATAGAACTATCTGAATAGTAAAAGTGATAAATGCTAGGCTGAAGGGTGGCTCAGCGGTTGAACGTGCAGTGCTCTTCCATAGGACCTAGGTTGGGTTCCCAGCACTTGTGTTGGGTGGTTCACAGCTGCCTCTGACTGACTCTGCTTTCAGAGGGTCCAGTGTCCCGGTCTATCTTTGTGAGTCACTCTCCCATGTTCACACACCCTCACAGAGACATAATTTTTAAAAAATCCTTTTAAGAAGTGGTGAGTGCTGACAGAATTTTCTAGTCATTTAAAGGATCTAATGGTCAGCAGCCATTGGGTTGATTGGGATTTTGTTATTGGTGTTTTGGAGGCAGGGTTTCTATGTAGCCCTAACTATCGTAACACTCCCTATGTAGACCAGACTGTCCCCAAACTCACAGAGATCTTCCCACATCTGCCTTCAGAATGCTGGGATTAAAAGCATGTACCACCATGCCAGGCAATTCTAAATTAATTAATTAAGCTAAGGTAAATAGTCCTGTAACATGCTATGAGTGAAGTGTCCTTGGGCTGCGTAGTGTCCACCTGTCAGTCACATCACTGTTGCACATGACTAATGGTTTTTTTCAGATTATTTTTAATTTTTTTTTCTCACTGCATCACCTTAGTTAGGTGTTTAGAAAGAGTCATAGTTGTAGTTGATCTTTGTGGAATCACACAGATTTTAAAAGGCTCTGTAACAGCCTGCTTTCCTTCTGGGTAGACTACCATGCACTACACTTCAAGGGCAGCTCACTAGCATTCTAGGATGTTCTGGATAGCTACTGAGACTCGTTTAGGAGAGTCATCGTTGTTTACCTTAGCAGGTTACAAGCTGTTGTTAGTTCTCCTTTTTCCTGTCTCAGTGCTGCGTGTCACAGACCTTAGTCAAGCTCCATCGGTTAGCTCCTCTTCAAGTTGTTCTCAGAAAGCAGTGCCAGGCGTCTCTGAGTGGTTTGTTGTTGTTTTGGCTTTTTTGTTTTTCTGATTAGGACCTGGATGGGAATCTTCTGGACTCGTGGGAGGGAGTGCGAGTGCAGTGCCTGTGGTGCTTGAGTGACGGGAAGACGGTGCTGGCTTCAGACACACACCAGAGGATCCGCGGCTACAACTTTGAGGACCTGACAGATAGAAACATGTAACTAGCACTTGCTTTCCATTAGAAAAGGTTGAAATTGGCCAGATGTAGTGGTGGTACGTGCCTTTAATCCCAAGACTTGGGTTGCAGAGGCAGGCGGACCCGTGAATTTCAGAGCAGCCAGGACTGCACAGAGAAACCCTGTCTTGAAAAGAGAGAGGGCTTGGGGGGGGGGGTGAGGAAGGAAGGAAAGAAAGAGATGTTCTAATTTATACCAAAATGTGTATTTAGTTGGGCTTTTTCAGAAAAGCAATTTCTTTTATTGGTAATTTGAATTGGCATTTAGGTGGTATGTGTTAACTCATTCTGATTGACATATATATGGCAAAATATCATTTACACTATAGCGTTTTATAGTCTGTCATAATTTGAAATTCTTGACTCTTCATTTGCTGCTCCTGACCATTTATTTCTGATTACAGAGTACAAGAAGATCATCCTATTATGTCATTTACTATTTCAAAAAATGGCCGATTAGCTTTGTTAAATGTAGCAACTCAGGTATGTTTTTTTAAACAACATTTTAAAAATATTTTAGTGAAAATTCGCTTTTGTTGTTTATAAAAGTGTTAAATATCTGTGTTTAGTGCTTAAATGTGTAGGGATCGGCAATAAATTAGTTGAAATACTGACATTTTCAACAAATAGAAAATGACAATGCTTCGGTAGAAAAGGAATATTCACAATTACTGTTGACTCTATTGAGACTGGGTGTGATAGACCACACCTTCCATCCCAGAAATGCCTGGTGTACATAGCAACTCTAAGCCACCTGGGTTAGATTAGTGGTTCTCAGCCTCTGGGTCACACACAACCCCTCTTTAGTTGGAATAAACTTTTCATGGGGTGAGCACATATTAAATATCCTGCATATTAGATATTTACAATAAGATTCATAACAGCAGCAAAATAACAGTTATGAGTAGCAACAAAATAATGTCATGGTTGGGGATCAGCACACCACAAGGAACTGCATTAGACGATTTCAGCATTAGGAAGCTTTAGAACCATTGGGCTCAATGTCTCTTAAAAAACAAACTACTAAGCTGAGTGATGTTGTATGTGCCTGTACTCGGGAGGGCCAGGTATAGTGCTCAGTACTTTAATCCCAGCATCAGGGCAGCAGAAGCAGGTGGATCTCTTAAGTTTGAGGCCAGCCTGTTCTACAGAGTGAGTTCCAGTTTTACACAGAGAAACTTTTATTTTTTTTTTAAAAAAAAAAAAAGAAAGAAAGAAACAAACAAACAAAGGATGGTGGTGGGTTGGATTTCGGAGGCTATTCCTGGGACATGGTGAGATTAACTTTAAAAAAAAAAAAAAAAAAAAAAAAACCCCCCCCAAGGGAGCAAAACCTATAGGGCTACAGAATTGAGACCCTGTCTCAAAAAAACAACAGCAACAAAGCCTTTTTTTTTTCCTACAGGGAGTTCACTTATGGGATTTGCAAGACAGAGTTTTAGTAAGGAAATATCAAGGTGTTACACAAGGGTTTTATACAATTCATTCATGTTTTGGAGGCCATAATGAAGACTTCATCGCTAGTGGCAGTGAAGGTAAAGTATCCCTGTCCCTATTTGTACAGTTTTCTCCCAGCTTTCTAGGAAGCCGTGCTTCTCAGCAAGGGTAAGGATACGGCAGTGCATTTTTTGGTCTGTTATCCTGTACATTCTTAATGTTACTTTTTGGGGAATGGCCTGAGGAGGTGGTGGTGGTGGTGTGTTTTGGTTGTTTATTCTCTTTTATTGGTTTATTCTCTTTTGTTGGTGATTAGAGCCCAGGGCCCCAAGCTGCTCTCACTCCTTGGCTGAACCCTCCTTCTTGTTACAGTTTAGTGGTACCTATCTTAACCATGTTTTAGAAGTATGTGAGATTTTAAATCATTATATTTGTTTTTTCATGGACTGAGAGTTTTCAGAAGTTTGTAACAATCAGCTTTGCTGGTCGTAGTGGCACAATGCCATGAATCTCTGAAGGTGAAGGCAGAGCTAGGCAGATCTCTGAGTTTTGGGACAGCCAGGGCTACGCAGAACACACACCCACACCCCCCAAAAGCCAACAATACATAGAAAGTCGGGACTGTAGCTATGGCTCAGTTGGTATTGTGCTTGCCAGCACACACACGTTCTGGGTTCAGTCCTCACGCATGAGCCATGCATAGTTGCTCACACCTACAATCACAGCACTTGGACCACGTTCAAGGTGGTGGTTCAAGTTCAAGAGGCTGCATTCTCTGCAACATGGTGAGTTGGGGCGGGGGGGGGGGGGGGCAGGCGCGCAGGCAATAGCTTTTCCAGATTGATGCAGCACACAGAACACAGTCATCATAAGCCATGCCTAGTTCTGACCTTGATGGCTACAGATCCCACTTTTGCTGCCTTGTCAGCAAATAATCTTAAACATGTTCACTTGAACCATAACTCACAGGGGTCTGCCCACCTCCCAAGTTGTGGAATCAAAAATGTGAATCTGCTGGGCAGTGGTGGCGCACACCTTTAATCCCAGCACTTGGGAGGCAGAGGCAGGCAGATTTCTGAGTTCGAGGCCAGCCTGGTCTACAGAGTGAGTTCTAGGACAGCCAGAGCTACATAGAGAAACCCTGTCTCGAAAAAAACAAAAAACAAAACAAAAAAATGTGAATCTATCATCATACTTTTCAAGCCTGTGCTCTTTCATTGAAATACAGCAAACCACCAGGCATGGTAGTGTGTGCCCCGAGTCCTAGTACTTGAAACATAGAGCAGTCCACACATTCACTCACCCACAGGTTTCCACACTGACCCTTGGTTCACCAATAGATTGTCATAATAAAGTTGGATTATCCTTGAGTTCTGCTCTCAGATGAGAACCATCATCATGTAATTATCACTAAGAGGTAGTGGATTTAATTCTTTTTATGGTTATTTTATGAGATTAGCATCTTCTAGAGACTGCACTTAAAGCACAGATATAAATCAGGTAGTTTTCTGCAGTAATCCCTAAGCAGGGTTGCTACAGTGGAGAGGCTGAATGCAGTTAGACCGTAAGAAGTGACTTGACATCAAGTACAGTGTGGAGAAGCATAGGACCCATCTCATAGCATGGTGACAGTTGAATTCTCAACTGTTGTATTCTCAATTGTTGCTGCTTCTCAGTTTGAATACCTTGTCTTTACTGTCACCTAAGATCATCTCTGAGCTGTACTACACTATGTTCATATACCTTCATTTTAATTGGAGTTTTTCTGTTTAAAAACAATGGTATTACGTGTGTATGTGTGTATGTACACATGACTGAGTGCAGATGCCTGCAGAGGAGCCAGCTTGCATAACGGCAGTACGAGCCATCTTGTCCCAGATTATAATTATTTGTCAGTCATTTATGGACAAACTCTTATAAATGTGTTTGAGATTTTAGAGCTTGAACAGAAAAAAAGGTAACATGGCTTTCACAAAATTAATTTATTAAACTATCCATACTTTTTTTTTCTCCCTGTAAATTGTAATATTGAAGAATCCATTTCTGTATGTAGTAAATAGTAATTTGTGGTCAGTGATTTTGTTACTAACACAGCTTTCTAACATTTCTCTGAATTACTGTACATTTAGATCACAAGGTTTACATCTGGCACAAACGTAGTGAACTGCCAATTGCAGAGCTCACGGGACACACGCGCACAGTAAATTGTGTTAGCTGGAACCCACAGATTCCATCCATGATGGCCAGTGCCTCAGACGATGGCACTGTTAGAATATGGGGACCAGCACCTTTCATAGACCACCAGAATATTGAAGGTAAGGCCATGCAGTCCTTGTTTTCTCTAGATGAAACATTGCTCTGAGTTAACAGTACTTTTACCTAACAGTTGAAACATGGAATATGACTTTCCTTTCCTTCCTTCCTTCCTTCCTTCCTTCCTTCCTTCCTTCCTTCCTTCCTTCCTTCTTCCTTCCTTCCTTTCTTTCTTTCCTTTATTATTTATTTATTTATTTATATTTATTTAACCTATCTCACTTTGTAGAAAGAATTTAAGAAATCTAGGATTAGGTTTTATTGTTTTTGGAGAGACAAGGAAGAAAGTAAACTAGAATATGCTGCCTCATTTGCAGCTGAAGTAATAATTAAAGATCTTTGGGTTCACAGATGGGTCAGGTGGTAAGTGTTTGGCATGATGAGTTGAGTTTGGATCCCAGAACCCCCTTGTTGGTGTACCGCAGTGCGAGTCTAATCTCTTTGCTTTTATGGAATTTGGGAGGTGGTTACAGAGGACAGTCCCCAGCAGCTGTGCAAATTAAAGACGTTCTCTGGAACTGGAAGGCAAGGTTGTACTGATACTCAAGGTTGCCCTCTAACCTCCACATATCTCACCACTTGTTTGCATGCACATACAAATCTATTAACATGTGGTTTGGCCAGTTATGTTAATATGATATTACATCAAACATTTTATGTACATATATGAACTAACAAATGTATAAAACTTGAGAAACTTTAGTTTTAATGATCATCATTTTCAGATTTTCATAATATCTTAGCACTGTATAGAATGTGCTATACTAACATGAACTGTGTCTGATGGTGAGAGAAAGAAGAAACTTAAATTTCCTGTGCTGCTTAAGTTCAAGAGGCGTGCTCAGAGTATTTGCTCTCACATATGTTCATGGTCTTGTAAAAGATATATTTTTATTTTCATTTTTTAGGGAAGGAACCAAAATAGCTCCTTAACTTGTTGAACACTGCCATTTTGGCAAATCTAGGTCTAGAAGTTTTCCCTGCCACCTTGGTACTTGAAGATGAAGAAAGTCATAAGGCTAACAGATGAGGACAAATTCTTGATTAAATAGAATAGTACTAGAGAGAAGTAATACATTGTATATAGATATCTTTTATTTCCTCAAAGAGAACAAGTAAAAATGTCTCCTTTGGAAGGAAATGACTTACAGATTGTTTTGTTCAGTGTGTTCCACCTATATGTTGATGTTTTTGTTTTGTTTTTCTTGTGTGTGTGCCCATGCTACCTAAATGCATGCTGGGACCTGCATGCCAGTCCTCTGCAAGAGAACAAATACTCATTATATCCACAGGAGGGTAGTTAGTTAGCTTTTTTTTTTTAATAAATACAGAGATGAGGCTAAGGCAGTGGTAGCATATACCTTTAAGGCAGAGGAGGGAGTATCTCTAAGTTCGAGGCCAGCCCAGTCTACACAGAGAAACCTGTCTCAAAAAAAAAAACAAAACCAAAAAAATACACACAGAGATGAGAATAAAAGAGTGTAAGACACACGGAGTGAGGTTGCTGAGACTTGGGAGGTGCTTTCTCCTGGAGATGTTTACTGTTGCTTGTCCTGCCAAGGCCCGCTCTCTTCAGATCCAGTTCTGTAGTTTTCTGTTTTGTTAGTCATTCAGAATGTGACTAGAAGAATAGGAAAGTACTGGTCATTTGGCAGCAGCTCATGAGAGCTGTTTTACCCACAATGGGATAAGAGTTGCACTTTGTACACCCATTACTTTGGTTAATGTGATAATTCATTTCACTAGGTGTGCCAAATACTGGCTCAGTTGTAAGATCAGGTCCAACTCAGCAGCTTCCAATATGCTGCACGAACATAGATCTGACTGTACAAGCGTGGTCATTCTTACTTCAAAGACAAAGGACTATGGCCAGGTGGTGGTGGCACATGCCTTTAATCCCAGCAGTGGCAAAGGCAGGTGGAGCTTTGTGAGTTTGAGGCCAGCCTGGTCTAGAGAAAGGGCTCCAGGAGAGCCAGGGCTGTTACACAGAGAAACCTTGTTTTGGGGAGGGAAAAGGGAAAAGACTGCTTTTTGGGATACTGTCTGCAGTCTTTTCTCACACAATAAAAGCATATTCTGATTAAATTGTATCTGTTTAGAATAGGAATTTGAAAGTATACGTGGGTTAAAGATAATAGTAAAAGACTAGCATCTGAGCCAGGCAGTGGTGGCGCACGCCTTTAGTCCCAGCACTTGGGAGTCAGAGGCAGGCGGATTTCTGAGTTCGAGGACAGCCTGGTCTATACAGAGAAACCCTGTCTCGAAAAACCAAACCCAAAAAAAAAAAAAAAATATATGTGACATATATGTAATATATGTCACTTAAATACTAAAGGTTTGTACATTTATTAACTGCAGGAGGGTGCTGGGTGCACTTGCTGTGCTGAGGTCAGTGGACAGCTTGCTGGACTTAGTTTCCTTCCCCCACATGGGTTCTGTTGATTGAACATAGGTCTTCAAGCTTAGCAACAAGTGCTTTTTCTGCCATCTTACTAGCCCAGGAATTTTTTTTTTTTTTTTTTTTTTTTTTTTTTTTTTTTTTTTTTCGAGACAGGGTTTCTCTGTGTAGCCCTGGCTGTCCTGGAACTCACTCTGTAGACCAGGCTGGCCTCGAACTCAGAAATCCGCCTGCCTCTGCCTCCCAAGTGCTGGGATTAAAGGCGTGCACCACCACCGCCCACCGCCCGGCTAGGATGAAGTATTAACACATGCTGTCAACATAAGGTGCATGAATCTAGAAATCAGGCTGAATGAAACATACTAGAAAACATACCAGACATAGCACATGCTGTGATTGCATTTTATATTGAAGTGGTATAAAAATAGGTCAATTCAAATTCCAGAGGAGTGATTTGGTTTTTATGAGAATGTGTGATTTGAAATTGGTCTAAACTTGTAGCTGATACTGTACAACTGTGAGTGCACTAAAGCTTAGCTGTTGGAGATGAGCTTATCTTACCATATGGGAGCTGTGGCGTAAGAAACGTCATATACACTGTCCCACATGGAGCTGGATGATGCGGTTGAGTGCACAGAATGTGCAGTTTGAGAATGTGCCTTCTACTACCAGGGTTTTCGTTCCATCTTTTTTGTTGTAAACTAGCAAAGATTTTCTTATTCTAATTATCTATTTCAAGCTTAATTTTAAAAATAGGAAGTCTGTCAGGCATGGTTATGCATGCCTTTAATCCTAGTACTCAGGAGGCAGGTAGATCTCTTCAAGTTCAAGAGGATGCTGGTCTACCTAGTGAGTGCCAGGCCATCCAAAGCTACGCAGTGAGACTCTGTCTCAACCCAACCCCTTCCTCCAATAGTAACATAGAAATGGGAAATTCTAACATAATAATTCATTGCCTTTTCTCCATTAATCAAAATAATCACAAGGTTACAATTTAGTATATCACCTAAAAACTGGGAGAGACACATTGCTCAGTGATTATGAAAGTATCAATAATTTGTTTATTGTTACTTATTCTACTGTTATTTCTTGATGCAGATTTTGAAACTTTCTAACTGATATCTTTTTTTTTCTGTTCCTTTCTCTGCACATTTCATCTGGTCGTCATTCAGAGGAATGCAGTAGCATGGATAGTTGATGGCGAATTTGGAGCAGACGACTTCTGTTTAACTTAAAATTAGTCGTATTTTAATGGCTTGGGATTTGGTGCAAACAAACATGATTGATAGCTGGACAGACATGCTCGTCATGAAGAAAAAAAAAAACCATTTTGAAGCCCGATTGGGGCCAAACATTTACACCTTGCTTCATAGTAACCAGTTGATGAAGCACGTCGTTAGAACGTTGTTGGACACCATGTTGAATTATTCCCCATCGGTTGTGAAGAACTGTGCTACATTCAGGCTTACCCATTGAACTCAGTATATATATTTTTTTCCCTCCTGCCTTTTGTCTGGTGGGGTACCATTCTTGTTGCTCTTCTGTGTAATGAAGTTCAAATGCTTGTTTGGAAACTTAATTTAACAGTTTAGAAGGCTTAATAGGAAGAGTTCATTAGTCTGAAGAGTATACATTGGACAGGAAAGAATTTGCTTTTGTTTCTCCAAATCTCTCCGCCTTCTTTAGCTTGAGATCTTTGCAGCTTGGTTCATGGATTCTAGCCTTGCCCGTTGCGCAGTATATACTGATCAGATGATAAAGCAGTGAACTATGTCAAAAGCACTCTCAATATTACATTTGACAAAAAGTTTTGTACTTTTCACATAGCTTGTTGCCCCGTAAAAGGGTTAACAGCACAATTTTTTAAAAATAAATTAAGAAGTATTTATAGGATTAAAGTGACTTCATTTGTATACATTTGGAATCTAAACCAGCTTAAAAACAGTGTCCTCTGTGACTGAGATACGCAGTGTAAGTGATGTTCTTCTGGAGTGCCACGTGAGACATGGCATGCTCATAAACAGTGTTCAGAAGGACATGGCACAGGAAAGCCAGAGAGATACTTTGAAGGTTCCCCTTTTTATTTTATTCCCCAAGGAACATCAGTACCCGATACTGAAGAAATTCAAGATTCAAAAGGAAAATTGTATAAATAAAGCAACACGGGAGATCAGCATCAGTCTAGATTTTCAAGGAAGCTTGTTCCAAGTTCTTCTGAACTTGGGGGAATCATTTTGGTGTGACCTAGCAAAAGTAGCCATCAGAAGATAGGCCCACATTGGGAATTTATAGTGTAGTTGAATCTTAGAGGAATTCAGCAGGCTACAAACATATGTAAACTGGAATTAAAGCCTGAGTCATTTCTCCTAATTGCCCTTAATGTCCAACATATAGGGACACTAATTTAAAGAAGATTCCTTCTCAGCTGTTGCCATAATGAACCTCATTCAAACTGGTGCTGTGGACAGTTTTCCCTCTCCCCTTTTAGTTTACGGGAGCGTTTCCTTTATGGGGAAAAAAAAAGGACTTCTCTCATTTTGAAGACCCTATATCTAACATAAGCTTGATCGATGTTCATGGTGTGTTCTAAACTCCGTAATTGCTGGGTCTAACAGTCTCCCCTTGAAATCCATGTTTTCCAGTAGAGGATAACCAGGGTAACTGCAGCTGTTGGGAAGAGAAGTGGAATTACTCCCAGTGCATTCCTGGTGAACAAAAAAAAAAAAAGAAAATGTTGTAGAACTTGCCCTTGAGGCCAAGCCAAGTCCATAGCATTTGCCATGATCATACCCCTTGGGATCCAGAGAGGAAGGAGAGGCTTGTACTGAGGAATCTTTCCACTGTAGGGGTCATAGGGAGGGAAAAGCCAGGAAGAGGGAGAAGAAAACACATTTGGCCTTAAGATAGTGTTCATTCTCCCAAAGCCCATAGTAAGGAGATGACAGATCGTAGTCAGCAGATTATTAATTCAAATAGGTATGTAAAAGATTCCTTTAAGCTTCATTTTTCAGAGACGACCACTTTAGAAAATCAGAGAAATCCTGTTTTGATACTTCTTAGTTAAAATAATTGTTACCGTTTATCTGGTACTTCATTTTCTTGACTAAAATTACTTTTCACTCTAAGCTTGAATAAAAATTTTCATTCATAAGTGTATATAATTAAGTGGCAACTCCTCTTTACCTCAGTGCAGTTAAAACCATCTTTTGATTGATATACCCTGAAGCCATTAATCTTTACACCCCAGTCTCTACAGTAACAGTCACTAACAGCATGTGGGCATAGAACTCCACAGCTGTTTACAGATGTGGTTACATTGTACTGCATGGTACTTACATAATGTTTCCTGAGGTTTGTACCCATCAGGACAGTTTGGCACTTACATTCTGTTAGTACACCCAGCTACATACACCTAGATCTGAGTTTTCACAGTGCTTCTGAAGTACATTTAAAAATACCTGGAGGTAAAAACGTGCACTGAAGGTGAGGGACATTACCAGAATGTAACTCCTGTTAGAATGAAGTTACAGCTCTGCAAAGGCTTTGATAGTAAAGTAGCTAGCTAGGTGAGTTTGGTTTCCAGGTCTGTCGTAACTGGCAGCTTCCACTATAGACGGGTACTTGACTGTGCCAATTTGCTGTAAGTGTCTGTTTCATGTTTGCCATGAAGTGAATGGTAGGAAGGTGTGGAGAGAGTTAGGGTTTACAGTGAAAGAACCTAGTGACAGGGTTACAGGAAAATGTCTGACAATGTGATAAACTCAGTCAAGGCTTAAGAGAGAATTCTGTCAAGCCTGCCACAAGATGCTAACCAATGTACAAACTGAAAAGTACCAAGACTTTTTGCACATAGATCAAAATAGTGGAGAATTTTGGCTCCAAAAATCAGGTTAGTAGGCTCAATTCCATGTGCTTAAAATGTTTCTGTTGTTAATGCATCAATTAAGGGCTAGAGTAAGAATGAAATTAAATGTCTTTTTCCTCTAAATAACTGGTTATTAGTGGTAAAGTGTTGGATTTGGGGATCACTGAGGTTGGTTTGTGGGTGGTGATCAAAAGAATTAGAGTGGGAGTCAGAGCCAGGAGAGATAAGAAGCTTCACATATGAGGCTTTGAATTTCATTAGTATTCCTGCCAACTGCGTGGCGTTGCTCTTCCTGGCCAGGTAAATGTCCTGGTGACCCAGGTAAGTAGTGAACACAGGACATTTTATTTGCAAATGTCCCCATAAATTGGCTCATTTTATTGGGTGGGAGAACAAAAATGGAATTCTCTGACTATAATTAGCCTGCCAGGCAGACAGAAGCAGTAATTCCACAGGAGCAGTCGATTTGGAGCGTTTTGCCTCAGCTGTGACAACTCTTGTGACATTAATAGAAAATTCTTTCCCACCCCTCCCCATCTTGAAATTTTCTTTTTTAGGATGTTGGTTCCTGCAAACAAGAACTGACCCTCTGCCTCCCAGTGGGTACATGTCTCGCACATCTCTTGAAAGGGGACATACCTACGTCCTTTACTGCAGAAGAGTGGGAGGAAAGAAGATAAACTGTCTTAATAGCCATTGTTCCCATTTTAAAAAATACATTTTTACTTAGTAATTCTACTTTGATGTCTCATTTAGACTTCACCAACTCTCCTTTGTGTTGCTGGCCAAAGCATTACCACCATTTCCAAAACCATACCTGATTTCACATAAACTGCTAACTTAAAGAGGTGAATTTGCATTTACACTTAGACACTTTTTAAAAACAGGGTGAAATTAACTTAAACTTTGCAGTGTTGAGTTATTGTTATAGTAGCTGCCCTAGAGTTGCAAAAACAAGCTGTAAAAACCCATCCCCTATCTACTTAATCCAGATTGCCTGGATTTAATGAAGTTAATCGTATAAAAATGTGTGGGTATGTATGTGCGTGTTTGTGTGTGTGTGTGTGTTTGAGAAAGAACTTGATTCATAAAATATTCTAGAAACAACTTTTAGGTTGTCATTTTTACTGAACATCTTGTGCACATGTAAAGTAGCCTCTTGCGTTTAAGGCTTGGTTAATGTCTATTTTTATAAAAATGAAGTTGTGTCCCATTTTTAACTTAGACATTTACATTATCAGGATCAACATGCTAGAATTAAATCATAACATTTATAGGCTCAGTGAGGGTAAATGTTATTAGCCCCTTGAGAGAGAGAATGTGTGTGTGTGTGTGTGTGTGTGTGTGTGTGTGTGTGTGTGTGTGTGAGAGAGAGAGAGAGAGAGAGAGAGAGAGAGAGAGTGTTTGTGTGAGTGAGAGAGAGAGAGAGAGAGAGAGAGAGAGAGAGAGTGTGTGTGTGTGTGTAGAGAGTGTGTGTGTGTTTTGAGGGAGATAGATCACAAAAGCATGTATATGCTTATAAACCAAGCTGTAGAGATCATGTAAAGAACCTGGGTGTTGCTCTGGAGATTTCTGAGCTATGGGAAGTGTGCTGTGATGTAGCTAACACACAGCTGTTGGTATGGAGGAACAGTTAACTATGGACTGAAAGATGTTTCCGGAGGACTGTGTTCTTAAACTTTGGGGTTTGCTTTTTTAACTGCGTTTTATTTCATTAAAGTATAAAAACTTCAGGTCTCATATTTATTTTCACTTGTTCTACTAATTATTTACAAGACACTTTTTGGTTGACATTTTATAAATGTGTGGTATATTAAATGTCTTTAATTTTTGTTTTATTAAAATTACAATAACTGATTTGCTTTACTGGGATTTTTACATTTTATTTTCACTCCACCTTTTCCATGTCAGTGCACAGCACTTCAGTCCTTTGTATTCCCTTCTGTCGATTCAATAAACAGAATGAGTAATTTAAGTAAGTCTTGTCGCATTCCATCTCAACACACTGCTCAACTGGTGGCTATATCTTGACCTAGGATTTGTGAATGGAATCTGAGGAAACAATTTTTAGTGTATTTGAAGGCCATTGTGCACCCAGTCGTGGATAAGGTAGATTCCAAACCTGTACTTAAGTAGAAGTGCATGTGAGACTCAACTCAAAGCAGTGGTGGGTTAGGATTTCAAATCACTCATTAGAGGGAAAACAAACACACTGAGATAGTTCAGTAAGTAAGGTGGCTATTCCCAAGCCTAATTCACCCGAACTTCACTACTGGGACCTATATGAAAAGACAACTGACTCCCGAAACAACAAATAATCTTTAAAGAAATTAAAAGAGAATTGTTTTTATATGTGCACTTATACTCTGAAATCAGGAGCAGAACCCCTGGAAGATGAACTTTGATAGTGTGAAGTGTCAGACATGGATATGGGGACTGTCTGTCTATTAATATTTCACATCATCATATGGTATCGGCCTGCTACCAATCCAATGAGTGACTGTCACAAGACTGGCTGTGTTACCCCGGTGATGAGGGACTGACCACTGAGTATGTATAGCTACTTGCTTACCAGGGACACTGACAAACTGTTAACACCCTCAGTGCTTAGAAAGTGTTCTAGCCCCTCTGCAAAAGCCACTAGATTGGAACACAGTTGTCAGATGCTAATTCCCAGATGAGGGGAAGCAGGAAGCTCAGATTCAAACCATACCTCTTAGCTCATGTCTGTAGTCCTCCTTAGTCTGTAGGTAGCTAGCTTAAAATTTGTTAGTCACTAAAATTAAACAATACAAGATTTCAAGAGGTATCTCATTTAATTAAACAGAGACCAGATAAGTTACTTAGCATGTCAAAGCCAGGCCACTCATCTGTGAAAGCAACTGATGGTACCCTATGAGACATTGAACTGAGAATCCATGCAAGAAAACTGAAATGTTTAGTGATTTAAAACTTAACAAAAGGGATAAAGCTGACTTCAATGTCATTCTATTCTTCATACCAAGTTCCAGGGCTCTTAAAAGGGGGAGAGGGCACCAGGTGGTGGTGGCGCAGGCCTTTAATCCCAGCACTTGGGAGGCAGAGGCAGGTGGATCTCTTGAGTTTGAGGCCAGCCTGGTCTACAGAGTGAGTCCCAAGACAGCCAGGGCTACACAGAGAAACCCTGTCTTGGAAAAACAAAGGTGGGTGCAGGGAGTAGGGCTGGCTAGATGGTTCAGAGGATTAGGAGATAGAGCACTGGCTGTTCAAGGGGACCCAGGTTCAATTCTCAGCACCCATGTGGCTCATTATCACCTGTAATTCCAGCCCCACTTCTGACTTCTGCAGAGAAATAAAAGCCTTATAGACACTGCTCAAAAGTATAGGCCTTGTTTTAGATCATTGTGAACAAACCAACTGCAGAACTCTGAGCCATGGGGGAAATTTGAGCCTTAACGAGTTACTTAATACAAAGAAATGCTAAGTAGTCTAGTTACTACCTGGGAGGGTGAGGCAGGGTGTTTGTAGATTTGAGCCTGGCCTGAGCTACATAGCAAGACCCAAAAAATGAAAGTGCTGGTTTATGTAGAGTACTGGTATACTTACATATTTCCCAGATTCTAAAACGTAACACATATATGTTGAAGGGAAGGTTGCATGTTATTGGTAAAATGAATTGATTATTACAAGCGGTTGAAAACTATCAGCTAAGAAACATGGTTCTCGAGGCAGGAGATGTAGCTCACTGTTTCATGCACTTACCTCTCATATATGAAGTCCAGAGTTCAGTTCCAAAGATTCTGGGTAGAGGCAGTGGCTCAACAGATAAACACAGATAAAGGCCTTAGAAGCCGAGATCAGTCCCAGAACTCACATCAGGCAGATATGGTGATGTGTATCTGTAATTATTACAAGACGGGGAGGCCAAAATTGAAGAATCGTTGGGCGGGTAGCTGACCAGTCTTCTGGAGTGTGCTGAGCAGTGACAGAAATGAAACATTCCACCTCAACAAGATGGAAGGTGAGAACTGACTCCACAAAGTTGTCCAGAGATCCACATCCCCTCCCTGGCTGCTGGAGGGCTGGGGAGTCTATACAGATTTGCTATGGAGGATTTACTTGCCTTGTCCCATGGAGACTCAACAGCCATCGTAGCAGTTAATATACTGCCTTCAGGTAAGTGAGGTTCAACTCTATCTAGTGTGTGGAATAAGTGGGCCTTGGGCACATGAGTTCCAGAGACATCAAGGTCTAGAAGGAAACTGTCCGCAACTGGATCTATGCTCTCTTCCATGAGAATGAGCATTTGGAAGCAAGTTTTGGGATTGAACAAAAACTCCTTTGTTCAGGTGTCAGTAAATGGTTTAGGGGTTAATGGATGAAGGATGAGGTCAAGTTCCCTAAGGTGACATCACAGATCCTGGGCAGTGAGGTATGGGGAAGAGATGTCAGGAGAGCCATAGAATAGTAATAACTCAATCTTGCTATACCAGGGTTGGGGTACAGAGCTCACTGGTAGAATATTTGCCTAACATATGCAAGGCCCTGGGTTCATTCCTTAGCATCATAAAAACAAACAAAACCTTAACCATGACCTTCCAATGTGGGACATACAGAGGTTCTTTTAGAAAACAGGAACTTGGCATGCTTGAGGTTTTTCTGTTTTCAGTTTGGGGTTTTGAGACATGCCTGGCAGTGTGGGGCAAGCAGGCTTGGAGCCCTGCTGCTTCAGTGTGCAGAGCATTGAGATTACAGGCATCATGTTCCTGGCCTTTGCAGCAGCCACACTTGACTAGGTTGTAATGTTCAGTGGAAACTGGCACGGAAGAGACTCAAGACTGCAGCTGAGCGGATGCAGCAGAGCAGACTGACAAGAAGAAGCTGCAGTCTAACCTCGCAGCTTCAGCTAGTCAACTGTGACCGCACCCTGCCTCCACACCCCGCCTCCCAGGAGCAGCTGAAACGCTATCTTACCTTACCTGAAAAGACCTTTCTAAGAGTAACTGGAGTGCAGTTAGTGCTGTGGCTCACTTTGCTAACTGCAGTTGAGGCTTTGACTGACCCTGGCTAGCCTTCTGCCTTCTAGAATATTTGAGAGAAGTGGCTTAAATCCTCTAAATTAAAGTGGCTTCACTGAAAATCCTCAAGTACAGCCATTTTTTGAACAGCTTTGCTAAACAGCTTTACATTTCAATCTACTATAGTATGTGGCAAAAGAGCATGTTTGCTTTAAAGGACAAAACTTGGGATATAGCTTGGTTGATACTGAGCTCCAGACTGGTTTGGGACACCGGAGACCCTGTCTTTAAAAACAAACAGGCTAGGGAGACGACTGCACTAAAGGGCACTGACTGTTCTGGAGGAGGTGGGTTTGATTCTTAGTACTCACATGGTAGCTAACAGTCACCTGTAACTCCACGTCCAAGGGATCCGACGCCCTCTTCTGGCTTCCACAGGTACTGCACACTTGTACACAAACATGCAGGCAGGCAGAGTCCACACACACACACACACACACGCACACTCACTACCACACACAATTTAAAAAAGACAAAAGCTCAGATTGCTGACCCTAGATGACAAAAAGTTTCCAGTTCTCCCCTTCTATAGACCTGGGGATGGGACCTATTACCTTGCTCGTGCCAGAAAGTTGCACTAATACTGAGCCACTCCCCAGCTTATTCTATGTCTGCATTATTAAAACAAGTATTTCTAAATATTGGAGACACAATTACACCTAATGCACGATAATTCATAACTTCTGATAAAATGCTATTTGTAAGCAAAATCAATATCAGCAGTCAGAAGTAAACCCAATTAATAAAAGTTTCTTTTATATGTCCAGATGGTTTTACAATACTTCTAGTGTTCACTGTGCTATTGGGCTGGTGAATGGTTAAGAGCACCAACTGTTCTTCCAAAGAACGTAGGTTCAATTCTCAGCACCTATTGTGAGCTTACAAAGGTCTGTAACTCCAGTTGCATGGGTCTGACACCATCACACAGACTTACACGCAGCCAAAACACCAATACAATAAAATAAAAACAAACCATTTTAGAAAAAACAGTGCTCCTAAAGTTAGCTACCTTGAAGACAAAGAAATAGAGTGGTGGGCTTTGATTATGTTATTCTATAACTGCTTCTCTGAACTAAAGGACATAAGTCAGACTCAAGCGATAGAGCAATCAGATTAACCTGTTATTCAACAGCCTTTTATTGTGTCTGTGTGCAAGGCACTGTATTAGGCGCCAGGAGGGAAAGGAAGACAACACAAACATGATCAGAGTGGACGCTGCCCTCTAGGAGCGCACAATCTAGTTTGCATACAAGAGATGCCACATGGAAAGTGATGAGTACTTCCCACAGGAAACAGTACAGAGGTTTAAAGTCAGAGCAGGTCAGAAGGAAGCTGCTGGCTCTTGCTCCATTGTCTTCTTGGGCAGCAGGCGTGAAAAGGGGCCGCTAGATGACGAGTGGGGCTGCGTCTTGCACGTCACGTCCTCAGCTCTAGACACACAGCATCTGCTGTAGTTAAAAGTCTGGGAAGGGGGAATATGACACTGCGTGGCTGCCCTCCGCGGCAGGATGCACTGGCCAGGCCCTCAACGTTAGAGCTTTACAGAGGCCAGGGAAGGAGAGGGTGTAAGCGGACACTGAGCTGAGCTCCTGATGGTCAACCTCTGACAACCCCTAGGCCTCTGCTCTCTTATCTTTGAGATGACAAGGCTGGAACAGATGATCTTGAAGCCGCTCTGCAACTCTGATCACTGTACAGCTGCACCACAGGCGGCAGCGCCACAGCCGCTTAGGGGCATTGCTCACATCCTCTTTTTCAGCGTTTATAAAAGCATCCTCCTCCCTCCAAAACACCCAGAAAAATGACTCCTCCCTTTCCTGGCTTTGATACACATGAGCAATGAGGGATAAAGGGTGTCCACTCACAACTAGTGTTTCAGAGTTAAGTTTGGTCTTTCTATACAAGGTAGCTTTCTCATTCACTCCTCCCACCAGCTTATGCCTGACAACCGACAGCCCAAAAGTGCTCGGCTACGTGGCTTTCAGTTTAAGCTCAAACATTTTAGACAAAAGTCCTCCACTATGTCTCTCCATCCTATGAAGCCCCAGGAGTTCTGTTTGAAAACTTTGACTAACACTGAGGGCACCAGAAGGTAGGGGGAGCTGTTAGCAGAGGGTGCCCCGAGGGAAAGGTGTGAGGAAGGATATAAAGTAACTCCCATGTCGTGGCTGCTTAGCCCCTTTCTAGACAGAAGCACAATATGATTACAGGGAGGATTTCCTGCTTTCACAGAGGCCCAGCGAACCAGGTTTCCTCTGCATGCCGTCCCAGCCTTTTTCTCCTGTGCGGTCAGAGCATAGCTCCCTTTCTAACAGGGAATCCAGAGCCCTGGCTCTTACGTCTACCAGCTCCTCACTCAGTAATTCATGCTACATTTAAACATTTAATCTCCGGGGATCCACACACTTTGTTTTGCCACAAAAGTTCACTATGCCGCAGTGCACAGTGATGTTTCCTTACCTGTCAGTGCTTATGATACCAACGTTAAAGTGCAACTAAGAAAAAGGCTGGACTGCCAGATTCACTCCCTGCAAGATATGATAAGCACAGACCAGGTTAACTGCTCGCTCTCACCCAGAGCAGGAGCTTCCAGAGTAGCTAGGTCCTGCCACGTGCATGCAATGGCTTGCGCTGGGCTCCCAGTCCACACAGTGGTCAGTGCAGAAGAGAAGGAGGTGCAGTGAATTCTGCACCAAGTGAGCACTCACAGACTGCTCTTGTTTTGTTTTTTAACAATGACTGATTGGTTTCCTGGTTCTGAGTGACTTCTAGCAAGTCACTTCTCCAAATCCATTAAACTATATTATTAAAGAAATCAAATACAAATGGAACAGTTACAATGTAAAATAAGGTCTGGCAAGAGCTGAGCTGATCAGAGGGAGGTGGGCAAGATTATGGAGGTACAAGCTTTAAAATGAAAGCTCTTAATAAAGTCTTGATTTTAAGATGTATTTTTCCTTTCTGTAAGCAAGAATTACACTGTACTTGGGTACATGGCTCGTAAGGTTTCGAATACTGAAATACATATATCTTAAAATGTCATTTTCTATTGAAAGATTTAGCTGAAAAGCCTCCCAAATCCTTAAGCCACATTCACATGACTTTCTTCATTTGTGCAGACTGGCTGTGCTGCTTTCTGTTCTAGCTTTCAGACAGTCTCGCTCTACTGAGGCCACAGTTCTCAACTTTCCTAATGCTAAGACCCTTTAATACAGATCCTCATGTTGTAACCCCCCAACTACAAACCATCTTTGTTGCTACTTCATAACTGTAATTTTGCTACTGTTATGAATCATAATGTAAATATCTGTGTTTTCAATGGTTTTAGGCAACCCCTGTGAAAGAGTTATTTGACCCCTAAAGGGGTGGTAACCCATAGGTTGAGAACCACTGTATTAAGGGCTCTTTTGGGTGTATCCTTTCTCTCTTTGGGATGCAAAGCTGGCACACATTCCTACTTCTACCAAACAGCCAAAGAGGAGACAAAATACCTTCATGTGTTGGGGTTGAGAAATCAGAAATCTACAAAAACTCTTTTTTTTTTTTTAAATACTTTATGTGGTAAAAATACAGCAAAAATAGGTTTTTTGTTCAAAGACCAAAATATATACTGCTCTGGTCACGGTTCTACGAGTGGTTTTAGTAGTCTCTGGCTCCTCAGTTGTGCAGTGTGTAGTGTAGGTTGGCTTCAGCCTGGCTTCTGCAGCTTCAGTCATTTATCAAAGCCAGAATCATACTGTGGAAAAAAGAAACTGGGATTACTCATGTTTCCTTAGGGCTCCCCTGAATCCAATACATTCAGACCTGTACACCCAGGCTCATCAAGAAACACTCACTGCATCACCTAATACCTAATATAGGAAGAGTGCTCAGATGAAAGCCTCTAACATTTTCACTAAAACAATAAACAGATGGGGGTGAGAGGGCAGAGTAAAATCTAATATCAATTTGGTGCTATCATTAAAAAACAAATAGGGGATGGAGAGATGGCTCAGCAGTTAAGAGCACTTACTGCTCTTCCAGAGGACCATGTCAGGTAGCTCACAAAAGCTACTTGTAACTCCAGGGGATTCAACGCCTCTGGTCTCCAAGGGCACCTGCACTCATATGTACATATCCATATGCATGAACACACATACACATACACACATACACACACACACACACACATACATACACAAACACACACATACATAAATAAAAACAAATTCTTTAAAAATAAAATATGGCCAGACACACACCCTTTATCTCAGCACTCAGGAGACAGAGGCTTGTAGATCTCTTTGAGTTTAAGGCCATTTGTGGGGCAGTGGGCTATGAGAAAAGCCAGAAAGCTTGGTAGAAAGAACTGAAGCGGCCGGGCGGTGGTGGCGCACACCTTTAATCCCAGCACTTGGGAGGCAGAGGGAGGTGGATTTCTGAGTTCGAGGCCAGCCTGGTCTACAGAGTGAGTTCCAGGACAGCCAGGGCTATACAGAGAAATCCTGTCTCAAAAAACCAAAATAAATAAATAAATAAATAAATAAATAAATAAATAATAAAATAAATAAAATAAAGAGTCTAGAGAGATGGCTCAGTGGTTAAGACCTTCTGATGCTCTCTCAGAGGACTCAGGTTCAATTCCCAGTACCCACATGGTTGTGCACAACTGTCTATAACTCCAGTTCCAGGCTCTTCAATACCCTTGCATACATACATACATACACACACACAAACACACACACAGGCAAAACACAAATGCACATAAAAAATAAAAATAAGTAATTTTTAAAAAATGAGATATAGTTGGGCATGGTGGCACCTGGGAGGCAGAGGCAGGAAGATCCCTGTGAGTTCGAGGCCAGCCTGAGAGTGGGTTCCAGGATAGCCAGGACTATACACAGAAACCCTGTCTTGAAAAACAATGAAAGTAAACAAACAAAACAGAGAAACGTAATCCTTTCCTCTGGTGTGCAGGGATCAACCTTACTCTTGATCATTAGATCAAGAGCAACCCTGACTACATTATTATTACAGATGAAAATTATTACAGTGCACAGACAAAGCCTCAGTGTTACTTATTTACCAGTAGAATAAATCGTCAAGCACATTAAACATATTCAGTGTACAGCACAGGTTAAAGGCGTCGCTAATATTTTGTAAATTTTGAGTTTACTATAGATGATAAACTTAAGCACTTCACAGCACTTGGTTCATGCTGCAATCCCATGAGGTAAGTTTTAGGAAGAGCCTATGTTCAGATGAAAACCCGAGGTACAGAGACGCTAGGAAGTGCATCTCAAATCTCAAGGCAGGTAGTAGAAACCATTCTCTAAACATGGGAGCATCTCCCCAAAACTTTACTTCCATTTAAGGACCCCCCTGAGTGCCTGCTGCCTGAAAGGCACTGTGGCAGGTGTAAGCAGAGCAAGAGTTCCTGCTGATGAGCTGGCAATAACGTCATTTCTTAACCAGAGCATCCATCCAGTCATCTCAGCTATGGACGACATTCAGGGGTTAAGGTAACAAAGACGGAGCCAAAAACAAGCTAACAAAGGAAAAGGAAGGATAGAAAAGGCGAGGGTACACCCTACAAAGGGTACAGCAGCCTAGACCAAACAGCTGTCAGGACCACACCCTAGCCCTGTCCCTAAAGTGCAATTCCCTCTCTCTCTTTGTTTTCTCATTTTTGTGATAAGATCTTGCTGTACCTTGGGAACCATGGAACTTACTAAGTAGTCCTGGATGGCACCAAATTTGTGATTCTCCTGCCTCAGCCTCTCAAATGCTGAGATTAAAGATGGACACCACTATGCCTGGCTAAAATAAATTTTTAAAAACCAGTATCTTGGGGTGGAAACACAGCTCCGTGCTTAAGAGCACTTCTCTCTTTTGCAGAGGACCTAGTTTCAGTTTCCAGCACGTATACGGCAGCTCCTAACTGTAACTCAAGTTCTAGGGCATCCAATATGTCTGTCTGTCTGTCTACATACATATGCATGCATGTATATATTTTTCCTTCTGGCTCAGTGAAACCTCTCAACTAGATTCTAAGAGTAAAGAACAGCAATGGCAGTTTTAAGCATATTAGTCACTTCAGCAGCTAAGAAATAGGTGGTAGAGAAAACTCTACTATAGGTTACATAGCAACTAACTTATTTTACTAATTAAATAACATAAAAAAAATGTACACAGCTACAATAAACTCACATAACTCCTGAAAGTGTTCCAATAAACCAAAAGCAGGTGTGGCATTCAGTATGCTGAAGCCTATTCTAAACCTACCTGTAGAGATACATGAAGAAACAGAGCAGGTAGAAGCCAAGCTTGATCATGGCTTCTTTCATGTGTGACTTTAACTGTCCCCGGTTGTGTATTTCTGTTGGATCAAATACTCCCATGTTACCACTTGGTACCATAATGAACCTGACAAAGGACACACACATAAAAGGAAATCAAATCTCAGCATGAATAATGAAAAACAGTTTCAAAATAGTAGTGACCCAGGTACTGCAGCCTCAGATTAAGAAAAGTGGATCGGTTCAATTGAAGTGTACCATCTGGTTTTCCTTCGGAAGCTGCTGCTGACTTTTCATTTAATTTTCTTCCCACTGAAACAAACATAGTAGTAATACCTAATAAATACTGAGAACCTTTAACACATCTGTCTCTCTTTAGCTCATTCTCATTAGATACAAGTTAAAGGAGATTCCAAAAACAAATTAATGTTATAAGTTCTCAGAAGCTGGGCAGTGGTGGCACACGCCTTTAATCCCAGCACTTGGGAGGCAGAGGCAGGCGGATTTCTGAGTTCGAGGCCAGCTTGGTCTACAGAGTGAGTTCCAGGACAGCCAGGGCTATACAGAAAAACCCTGTCTCGAAAAAAAAAATAAGTTCTCAGAAACTTCTAAGGATCTTTTTGTGTGTTTCTGTGTGTGGTAGACATGTATGCATGCATGCTTATGTGTGTGTGTGCATGTGGAGGGCAAAGGAGTGTGTTCTTCAATTGCTCTTCATCTTATACACATAAGATGGATCTTCAAACCAAGAGCTCCCTAATTTAGCTAGCTGAGAGAGCCAGCTCACTCCAGGGATAACCTGCCTCCAACAGAGAGATTATAGAAGGCCCAGGCCCACAGGACCATCTGGCATTCATGTGGGTGCTAGGATCCGAACCCCACTTGCACTTTGCCTACTGACCCATTTCTGTTAGCCCCGTCTTTGAGACATGGTCCCACTTTGTGGCTTAAACAGGCTTCTAGTCACTATATAGTCCAGTCTAGCTTTGAACTTGAGGATCATCCAGCTTCCAGCTATCCAGCTATCCAGCTATGCAGCTTCCTGAGTGCTGAGGCTTCTAGTCACTATATAGTCCAGTCTAGCTTTGAACTTGAGGACCATCCTTTCCCAGCTTCCTGAGTGCTGAGATTCCAGGCATATATAACCACACCTGGCTTTCAGAAATGTGTTTATATGAATTGAGAAGAAAAGTGAGAGAATCAGTGGTTACAGCAATGGCTTCACATCCAGCCTGTGCCGTCTGTGTACTATACATGTTTGAGCCTGGTACCGTAAATAACCTCCTCCCGCTTGCATGGCCAGGCTTTGTGATTTCCTCATTCTTGCCACACACAGTTTCTCAATGCCATTTCTGTGAAACATAAAAGCCTCTCTGTCTTAAACTGTCCCCTAATCCTACTGTCCTATCTGGACCTGAATAGAAAGTGCCTTTACTTGAATATACAAATAATACCCTCAAATAGTCTCAAAAAGACATCCATGTTATCTAAGTTCCTTGGTAATCCTTAAAACTTTCTTCTTATGCAATTCTTGTCTCTCTCACCTTTCACAGCCCACTGATCTCCTGCCATTTGCTCTTTCTACTACCCTTTATAAGCTGTCTTTCTCATTCCTACTAATACAACCCTGTTCCAACAATATAATCTTTTCTCCATTCTCTGAACTGAATTTGTAATATCCTAGTTCTTCTCTATCCAACACATACTACTTATGAAAAGAAGCCTTTATGTTATCTTGCTGCTTAAAAACATAAAACGTAGTCTGCAGATATGACTCAGTGGAACAGTTCTTCCCTGAGCTCAGCCAGGTGTGGTGGGCACACCTTTAATTCCAAAGAAATCACGTGATGATATAAGCTGCACATCAACCTTGACATTCTAAGTGGCCAGTCAAAAAAAAAAAAGACCATGGACTCAGCTTTATTGCAGGGTATTTGATCACACTGGGAATCCCAAGATTGTATATCTACTAGAAAACCCTGTTTCTAGTTGTGATGTGGCTCAGCCCTTAGCACACACCTTTAATCCCTCTTGCTGGAATACAGACACATCCTCAGTATACATCTTTAATCCCAAACAATAAAGATAAAATTAGTTTGTAGAAGGAAGCACCCGTGTTTGGAAGTGATGCTTAATTGAGTGTCAGACAAAGTGATGAAGCAGAGAAAAAGATTTGACAGAATAGGATATGTCCAACTCTCCCAAGAAGAGAGAAGAAAAAGGATCTACTTAAGAGGAGTGCAAAGAGAAAGAAACAGGCAGCTCTACTGGGACAGTTGTACAGAGACAGGTTGCAGAGAGAGAACAAGCTACAGGTGAAGACAGAACAAGCCAGAGAGTGAAAAGGAGCCAGAAGATCAGAAAAGACTGCTAAAGTTAGTTTGAGGCCAAGCAGAGCAATTCAGAAGAAGCCAAGAGAGAAGTCAGACTGAACCAGTCAGCTTGGAAAGGAGTTTGAGCTAGAACAAGAGTTGAGCCAGCTAGCAAGAGTTCAGAAACAGCTAGAAAGGGTGAGCTTATTCAGCAGTAAGTCTCAGAGGCTGAAAACATTCTACACCTAGATTAGATTATATGGAAGCTAGAAGCTTCCAGAACTATGCTTAGGTTAGCAGACTGAGGCAGTAACCCTCAGATATATTAGTTCACTAGAATAAAAGTTACATTTTATACATCTGGCTTTCTAGAATCTGTACATGTTGATCAAGTAGATCAGGCTGCGGATGAAATCAGCTAGAAAAGTGCTTGCCCAGCATGTACAAAGCACTAGGTTTGACCCCAGCGTTAGATAAAGTGAACATGCAGGTTTTCTAAGTCCTGTTTTCTCATGACTTGGAAGGTAGAAGTCAGAGATTCAAGAACATCCCTTATCTGCTGTGCTGGCTAGTTTTGACATCAACACGATCATCTTAGAATTACTATTGCTATGATCAAACACTATAACCAAAAGCAGCTTGGGTAGGAAAGAGTTTATTCAACGTACATTTCAGCACAGTTCATCAAAAACGGAAGTCAGGTAAGGAACTCAAGCAGGGCAGGAACCTTGCTCCTCATGGCTTGCTCAGCCTGCTTACCTATGGAACCCTGGACTACCAGCCCAGGGGTGGACCTACCTAAAACAGGCTGGGTCCTCCCCCATGAATCCCTAATTAAGAAAATGGCCTTATAGGCTTGCCTGTCTACAGCCTGATCTTATAGAAATATTTTCTCAGCTGAGGTTCCATCCTCTTAGATAACTTTAGCTTGTGTCAAATTGCCATAAGACTAGATGGTACATTGATACAAGATAGAGTCATTTTGGAAGGAACCTCAATTACGAACTGAGCTTACCTGACTGGCCCGTGGGCAAGCCTGTGGTGCTTTGTGCAATGTCTCGACTGATGATTGATATGAGATGGTGGTTCAGGGAAAGCAAGCCAGTAAACAGCACTCCTCCATGGCCTGCCATCAGTCCCTGCCTCGGCTGGGGAAGCTGCTCAGTCTCTTTTCTATATAGCACAGCATACACCCAGTGTAGAATGTTAATTTATTGTTTTCCTTTTTGGCCTTCCTTATTGCTCTCTCACAATAGGCTCACATCCTAATCTGAGCCTCATCCTGGGAACATAGGTTCCTGACAGTCTGGTGAGGACCAGTCCTAGGAAGACCGTGGTTTGTTTTTTGAGACATGATTCAGTTGTGTACCTCAGGCTGGCCTCAGGCAGTAGGGGATGGAAGACAGGACACATGCTTCTGTCATGAGAAATCTAAGGAAGTCAGAGGAGCAAGCATGAAGTCAAAGAACAGCTTGCAGGAATCAGTTTTGTCCTCCCACTGTGGAGTGCAGGGATCAAAGCCAGGCTGTCAAGCTTGGCAGCCAACGCCTCTAACCACGGAGCATCCCACCATCACTCCTTACCCTTTATCTTTTGCTTTGTTTGAGATGGGGGAGTCTCACTGTATCCCTCCAGTTGTCCTAGAACTCTTGATGTAGACCAGGCTGGCCTCAAACTCACAAAGGTCTGACTGCCTCTGCACCCCAAGTGCTGCGATTAAACGTGCTTGCCACCACATATGACTCATTTTTATTCTAACAGTGTTTTATAACATCATACTTAACAATCAGCCAATGAGTGGGTTTTGCCCTTATAAAGGACTAACTATAAACAAAATAAAAGCTAAGAGAGAAAGAAAGAGATGCAATCTATTAACATAAAAAATAATTCTAGGTCTGGAGAAATGGCTGAGTGGTTAAGAGCACTGGCTCATTGCCTGTTCTTACATAAAACCCAGGTTTGGTTCCCAATACCACATGGCAGCTCAAAACAATCTATAACTCCAGTTCCAGGGGACCTAATACTTTCTTCTGGCTTCCATGGACGCGCACACACACACACAACATATTTATGCATATATATATATATATATATATATATATATATATATATACACACGCACACGCACACACACGCAAATAAGTAAATATTATTCTACAATTTTTCACTAAATAACAAAATATAACGGCTTGACTATGGGTGATTTCCCTGGTCTGTTTCTAAACAAATTTCCAGGGGGTAACGATGATAACGATAATATTTTGGTTTTTTGAAGGAAAGGGTTCTTTGTGTAGCCCTGGATATCCTCGAATTTGTAGATTAGGCTACTCTTGAACACAGAGCTTGGTCTTTATAGGCCTTCTGAGTGCTGAAATTAAAGGTTCTCTCTACCACACCTCCATATCTGCCCAGCTAAGGATCTTGACTGTCAACATAGAAGATAAAGAAAGGCCAAATTAGTAACGCACACCTCTTTGAGTGTGTCTGTGAAGTTTCCAGAAGCAATTAAATCATGAAAACTATGACCCAATAAATGGATTAATTCTGGGCTGGAGAGTTGACTCAGTGGTTAAGAGCACCGACTGCTCTTCCAGAGGTCCTGAGTTCAATTCCCAGCAACCACATGGTGGCTCACAACCATCTTTAATGGGATCTGATGACCTCTTCGGCTGTGTCTGAAGACAGTAACGATGTATTCATATAAATATAATAAATAAATCTTTTAAAAAATGGATTAATTCCTCAGTGTACTCATAATAGGAAGTGATTATTGGGAAGTGGTGAGGCCGCAGATGGGGCCTGCACGGAAGTGTATCAGTGGGGACTGTGCGGGGCTGGGCCTCACCCTGCACAGAAGTGTATCAGTGGGGACTGTGCGGGGCTGGGCCTCACCCTGGTCCCTTCTATTCTCCTTTTTCTCTGCTTTCAGCTGAGACGGAGTGAAGAAGCACCTCCTGGCCAAGGCTTCAGGTCTAAGCAACCGTGAACTGAAAACTCTGACATAGTAAGCTAAAATAATTCTTCCTTCCTTTAAACTGTTTCTATAAGGCATTCTGGTCACAGCCATGAGAAAAGTGACCAATACACTTCACAAATCAAAAAATCAAAACATCTAGTTTTTTATTTCTCTCTCTCTCTCTCTCTCTCTCTCTCTCTCTCTCTCTCTCTCTCTGTGTGTGTGTGTGTGTGTGTGTGTGTGTGTGTGTATAGAAATGCAGAATGCTGGGCTTCTGAGTGCTAGGTGCAGTGCATGCTCCTAACCACTGACTATCTATCTAGCTCCCTGCTTCCTAAAATTTTTTTTAAATCAAAACTTGTGTGTTAATCTTCACTGCAAAAACAAAGACCTCAAAATAAACAAACAAACAAACAAAAATCCCAAACACAAGTTACCTACTTTGCAGGCACTAAAATGCAATTTTGTTTGGTCTACTTCCAGTATTATAGATACAAATAAAGGCCCTATTGTCTCAAGCCTTTGACTATTAGAAGAAAATGATATTCAGGGCAATGAAAACATTTTACAAGTCTTTAGGCTTCACAATTAAACATTAGATTATTCCTATGCATGTGAGTTTTGTGCTTTACCACAAGATTGAGCCATGCAAACTGCTATCTGCCTAATATACCAAAGTGAACAATAATTTATTCTGATTTCATAAAGTATTTTGTTGTTCTTTATTTAATCACTGGGATGTTTCCGTGGGGGAGAACCTGTTAATTATTTTCTTTTATCTACAGTTTTATGCAGCCTAGGATGACTTCAAATTCACTAAATGGCCAAAGCTAGACTTAAACTCCTGCTCCTCCTAGCTCAACCTCCCAAATGCTGGGATCACAGACATGTACCATCATGGCCAGCTGTTAATGTTTTTTAAGAACTACTGTCAGCAAACAGTAAACAGACTATGCTTACCTGTATATATTCCACGTGGCGACAGGTAAGTTGAGGAGGAAGATGAACCAGTGCAAGGAGACCAGCACCAGCACAGTGACGATGGTGTGTCCAACCAGTTCTGGTATCACCCACTACAACCCAAGAACAGAGCATTACATCGCTGATCTCTTTTCCGGCTGAACATGATCCTCAAGCCAAATTGAGGACTATACAGAGAGTCTTTATTTTAGACTCAGAAACCCCAGACAGGGCTATAACTTCTTACCCTAGGCAAATATATAAGGTAACAGCTCAAAACTAAAGCAATTAAATTTCAGTTTTATTTCACCCTAAGCAAAGGCTTAGATTCTTTCACTAAGCAGCTCAGAATAACTACGGAAAAAGCAGAGTATTTGTTACTTTCTGTTCCAGCATCTATGACAATGTGCTGAAGCCTCCTGCTCTACATCAGCATGGTACACATCCACATACATGCCTTTTCAATTAGAATGTCAATCTTCAAGTAACAGCCCCTGCCTCTGAAAAACATTTCCCCAAGTTCAGAATCCTGAGGAAACAAATGACATGGAGAAAGGTAAAAATTCTAAAATGTATAGTAATGTGTAGTAAGTGCCAGCAATCCCACCACTAGGAAAGCAGGGAATCATGGGAAGTCCGATGCCAGCTGTGACTACCTAGTGAGACTCAAAACAACAAAATAAGAAAGAAATTGTAAAATAGCGGGCTGGAGAGATGGTTTGGTAGTTAAGAGCACTTGCTGTTCATAGGACCTGAGTTTGTTTCCCAGTGCTCTACGGGGTGGCCCACACTGCCTGTCCTGGAGAAAAACTGATACATCTTTTTCATCTTTTCCTAATTCATTTGTGGGAGAAACAGTGGGTCTAGCTGAGAAGCCCAGGCTGACCCCAGGACAAAACTCTTCCCTCAACCTCCTAAATACTGGGAATGCAGGCATTCACTATCATGTCCAACATTTTACCGTGTAGAAAATAGTATTGAAAAAAAAAAAAAAAGAAAAAGAAAAAAAAAAGAAAGAAAAAGAAAAAAAGCCAGGCAGTGGTGGCGCACGCCTTTAATCCCAGCACTTGGGAGGCAGAGGCAGGCAGATTTCTGAGTTCG